TCAGCGCATTTTTATTATAATCAATCACTTTTTTCGAGAGAGATATTTCCGGCTGCGATTTAAAGCGTTGTAGCAAATTTGCGGGCCGGAAAACGTCGTTGAATCGGCTGTACGATGGATGACGGTTAACAAAACGCGATTCAACAAAAGTCTAGACTTTGGCGGTTTCGCCGCTACGGGTCCACCCTCGCTTTTAACCATAGCGTAAGCGGCAACGATAACCTAGCATTTTATACGCAAGATCTATAGAGCCTAGGCAATAACGTTTAGCGATAATTCTAGGGTACCCGCGACCCCTCGGGCCTTACGGATGACTTATGCTTGCTGGAGTTATTTGGACTCCTCGGTGCATTGTGCGGCATTCGAAACCGCATGTACCTCTTGTTGCCATACACCACATATCGGTACCACAACACAACACAGTGCAACCGCGTGTTTAATACGCTATCAGGGTGTTTCGATCAGAATCGGATTTATTGATTTAAGAAGTAAATATATTTCTTAAGAAGTAAGTATATGCTCAGCAAACACCGATATATAATTGTTACATTGCTATAATAAAACGGAATATAACAAATAATATAACGTGTACGTTACATGTAACATCCATGTTAGTTGTAATTTCCCACTCGTAGATGTAACATTTTAATATAACATATATTACCTTGTAGTTATATTGTAATTATATACCAAATAGCACATTGATGTATTGATAAGTCAGTGCTATCTTGGGATATAATGACAATATAACTACAATGTAATATATGTAATATTAAAAATGTTACATCTATGAGTGGGAAATTACAACTAACATGTACGTTACATGTAACATGCTTGAGTATATAACATTTATATATTGTGTTTGCTGGGTGTATGTATGAAGTAAGTATAAAATCGTTTACTTTTACAACAAAATCGCTGACAATTTGCGTATAATTTTATACAAACTATACAACATATCGGCAGCTTTTTATCTTGTTTATTAAATTTCGTTAAACTTGAACATTTTCAATGATGATTATGTATATTCAACGCAATGCATGTATAGATACGGATGAATATTTTAATTTACCTTTGCAATTTCTGCGTAATAACATGTCTATAATAATAGTTTCTATTTTAAAGTTATAAGTTTTAATAGGATGTACATATATATACTGTATGAAATGACGATGATATATCAATCGCAGCAAAAAGTGTCTTTAGTATCTTACAATATTTTCATTACGAATACATAGCTCAATTTATGATACAAAAAAATAAATATGTTATGTATATATATATATCTATAAATTGCATAATTTAACTCTGATAAATATTGATAAATGTTATAATTAAATGTTGAATCGACAAATATAGATACTGCAGTCGGAGCACTTCAATTTTCTGCATATTAAAGTGATATAATGTGCAAACAATTCTCGTATTTGTATTTGTATATAAATCAAAACCGCGATAATCACACACTTCTTTTAACACATATAATTAAACAGCTGGCAGCTGTTATCCCCTTTACATTACATTCCACCTGACGTTTCGAGCGCGGTACCAGTTTGCCAGAGTGTATAATCAGAGATTTGCGTATTTCTAAACTAGACGAGCTTTAATATCCGCGTGTAATAAGAAGACGACACAACCGGAGCTTTCTTTCTCTCTTAAATGCGAGCGCGCTCGTTTATTCGATTCGCGGCGCGTTATAATCTTATCAATCAACCGAGCGGTGCAAGAGAGGCAGAAAGGCTTAAAAGCAATTTACCACTTCCGCCGGGCCTCCGACAGGGAGAGAACCTCCACCGACCCGCGACACCGGAGGCTGCCGCATCTCGCGTCGAGGTCCGCGCGATCCGAAAATCATCAGCTCTTCGTTATTTTGTATATAGCACAGCGGCGGAGCCGAGGGAGACCGCGCGCTCGCAATAAAGGTAATTGCAATTTAATCCAGGGATCGTCGGACAGGGGCCACAAAGTACGGCGAAAGGAAGACAATCTCTCGCAGCCAGAGGAGAGCCTGATCAAGCTGTGTAGCGCGCGTGTAGCTGTGACGAGCGATGCTGAGGGACCAAGGGAAAGAGAAAGAGAGATGCGGAGCGGTAATAGAGAAAATGAGATGGAGAATGGGGAAAGAGAGATAGAAGGAATGAGAGGGCGAATGAGAGAGAAAGGGAGAGAATGTCAGAGAAACGGAGGCACGGAAAGAGAGAGTTCATTGGGTTCTCCAGCCCCCTGGCGCAGTCCCGCTGGATGACAAGACGGGGATAGAGGACAGGTGCTACTGGCAAGCCTTTGATCTCTTCCGCGTTACACGCGCATGCTCTCACAAAAAAGGGAATTATCAAAATATCCCGACTGGTCGTGACTATCGCTCCGAAAGGATCGATGCAATTTCGGAGGCGACGACCACCGCGATGTGTTGTATCGTGTATTCGCATTATATGTTATCGAACGTAGAATTTTCATTTTTCTTGGAATCCAGTTATAATTTTATATTTCAAGTGACTGATTTATTTCATATCATTTTATTTTTCCTGCATAAAGAAAAAAGACAAGTGAATTCGTTATTACGGAATAAATACTTTTGTATTTATGTACATGTTAAGTTTCGCAGAAGTTTATTATTATATGTAACTTTTGAAGGATTTTCATTATATGACATATTTATGTGATTACAGTTAAATGAATATTTATTGACACAGTGAATGTGCAATTGTTATTATTATACATTCGCTATTATCGCTCCGTCATAAGTCATATTATATTATATGCAGTGTTTCTCTATCTATATTTTTATAATCATTATATTATCTTAATTGCTATCGGTTTTATGATATAGCTTGCAGAAATTAATCGACAATGCAACAAAATATTGCATATACAGCCCATTTATTTTGAAGTATTATGTGAATAACTCGCTTTTTTAGCTTTCCAAATAATACAGCTATCGAAGATGTCGAAATTACAGAGCGATTGCATAATAAATGCATAATAAATGCATAATAAATGAGACCATATTTTTGCCATTTTACAATATGTCCCTGGTGCATATATATATATATATGTGTGTGTGTGTGTGTATGTATACTGTTTTTTCCGACACGCTTTCCTTTTTATTTCAGTTCGCATAGTATGTCACTTCTCCATTTGTATTATATACACGATGACCCAATTTTGATGTGTATCGCGTGACATTGTACTCCAGAGTACTCCAGACAACGACGAGAATTTGCATACATATTTTATTTGTGTGTCGGTAATTTACAATTCTGACAGGTTTGGCATGTATATATCGAGTACCATGTTTTCCGTCAATGATAAAATTGTAAGATAAAATTAAATAATATATTTAAAGATTTCGAAATATTAAAAGTTTACACGCTCAGAAAAAGAAATTATTATTTTAACACATACGCTACATTATTTTTTTAGCGATAATAAATAATGACAATAAAAACTCTCTAAAAATTATCGATTTCAAATTTCAATCTTCAAATCACCATTCGTTTTTATCGATGCGAAATTATTTTGTATTTAAGTATATTATAAAATGTAACATTGCAAGAAGAACAGTTTATATTTATGCAAAATGCTACTGTAACATAAAGTTTTCAAACAAGTGCAAGGATTTTATAGCGCATCAACGTTACAAAGAGCCAATTATGTATATCAAAAAAACGAGGGCGAAAAAGAAGTTGTGAATACTTATTTAACAGTCCATTCTCACTCGGAAATTAGTTTGCAAATCAAATATTACGGTCGCGCTACACCAGCTACAATTTTTTGTATTTTCTCTAACAATCTTTTCTAGATCGTTAAATGCATAATTACAAATATATGAAAATTTTACGTTTTTTGTTCTTTATTCTACTTGAAAATGCTTTTACATTGTGTACTGCATTTTTAATATAATATATAAGTAGAGTATTTTAAACATACATAGAGAGATAAGTTTACATTCTCGAACATAGCGGCAAACTTGACTTTCGAAAAACATTCCAAGTTTTATTTACTTTTTATTTATGAAAATTGCACAATATGTTATACGAGATAGTCTTAAATGAGTTTCTTGTTAAGTTTGGTATAAAAATCTAAATAACGTTTCAATCGTGCAGGTATGTAAGAAACTTTGAAGTAACGGTACGCGAGTATGCACGTTGTTCCCGCGAAGCAAAATCATTCAGTGAGATTCCCAATGGACTTGAAAGCTGTTGACGACAAATCGAGGGTTAAAATGCTATCGGTAAATAGTGACCGGGTCGAGGGGGACGTTATATCAGATGGCACAGGGATTATAACCCTAATTTGAGCATCACACACTCGCGTGACGTCGTCCTTCAAATGGAGAAGTACTCTCGCTCCCATGTCTGACAACAATCAATCCTAGTTTAGAAAATAGACGATAAAAGGGATGACGGATTTATTCGCGGATTCACCGAAAGCTCAAGTCTTTTATAAGAGGATATTTCATAATGGGTATATCAATTTGACTGATTAATGTTCTCTAATTGATTATATTTATAATTATAGGGAAAGATTCACATTTTTATATTTAGAAAAACAATTAGAATTTTAAAAGAGCTATATTATTCTTGTTGAATAATTAATATTTTCAAATGTTTGTTTTTCAAGAGATAATCTTGAGATTTCAAGATATATTTTATCATGGACAGAATGTAATGTTTGAAATATAAATGGCAAATATATCAGAATCGTGAATTAATTTGATATCTATTTTATTGATTTTTATTGTTAATTTTATTTGTTTTATTATCAGACAAAATTGGATTCTGTTGTGGTTTGAAATTAATATATCTCTTTATAAATATTGTAGGATATGTTTACCACACATTTAATTGATATTTAAAATTTAAGTTTTTGATCGAATTAAATTGCATTTTATTAGATTTAAAATTTAAGTTTTAGATATAATATAAATAATATGTAATGTAAAATTGCACATTACATATACATATATATTGCAATATAATGAACACCTTCTCAAACGATTTAAGTTATGACGTGCTTCTTTATTCAAAACTAAATTTCTTCTCTTGTAAATCACAAACGATATTACTCACGCGATAATCCTCGCAATTTTCATTAATTGCAGATAATAACGTAGGGTTGATTTGATCAAATCACCGTGACCGAGATTGCCGTTGCACCGGTCAAAATGGTTTTTAGCTCGGGCAAGAAATCCTTCATAAATCACTTTGCACGAACATCCAAAATTCTTCTATAATGTGGGGAAGCAACCTCGGAAGATACTTGAAAGTGTCTAGCAGCGTTCTGTCTTCGTCGATGATCAATCTGTCCGCAAAGCGGAATAAAAGCGGTTCTATAGCGAGAGAAAAAAAAAACTTGCGTCGGCTAGCCAAAAAAATAATATCGACACGAGATATCATAAAATGAAACCGGTGGCATATAACCAATTCCCTTTCTTCTCAAAAGTCTATCTAGATGATGATGTTAAGAAAAAAATCTGTACAAAAACATTTCACATCATTTTACCTTAAATTGATTTTATTACTCTACTCTCGATATTTCATGAGTGATATTTGATTGTATAACGATATTTTAGGAAATTTTAATAGTTCAATTTTCCTAAGATTTGAGAAAATCTCACATATATACATTAGATTATTATTCTTTTATACTACATTATTTAAATTTATATCATACCGTAATAATTCTTTATACATACATAACAATATATCTATGTAATGAAGAATCACACATTACGTATGCATACGACATAGATTAAAATAATCGAGAATAATAATCTTTACTCTCGATATTTCATGAGTAATATTTGATTGTATAACGATATTTTAGAAAATTTTAATAGTTCAATTTTCCTAAGATTTGAGAAAATCTCACATATATACATTAGATTATTATTCTCTTATACTACATTATTTAAATTTATATCATACCATAATAATTCTTTATACATACATAACAATATATCTATGTATGAAGAATCACACATTACGTATGCATAGATTAAAATAATCGAGAATAATAATCTTTATAGAGCTATTGTTGCTTCTGGCAGCTCCCGCTAAACTCTTAGCCGAAAACCGTAGGCAAATTCATATTGTGGGCCATCGTAAAAGAAAGAAGCAGACGTAAAGTCTCGACGCGGGCAACCGTGTTGTGAAGGTCGGCGCGCACCTACTCGCTGCATACTCCGCGCATAGCCTAAAGGATAATTATAGTTTCGCGATCGACTTAAAAATTTCCGAGATTCTTGCGTCGACGTTCCTCGCCGAAAAGTATCGCCGGTGTGGGTGAGAAGGTGCCCCGAAAAGTGATGCCAGCGGCTGAGGAAGAGGGTGGCCAAAGTGAAGGGTTCGCCGAACAGAGATTAGCTGACTGCTTCGAGACTTTCGTGTTTCTTGGATCCCCAAGAACCCGTAGATCATGATAATTGTGAGAACAATTCATCGGGTAAATTTCACGCTAAGCGCTCCTCGATTCGTCGGCACGTAGATCCTCGTCCGGCCCGCTCCATTAATCACGATCTACGGATTCGCCGCTGTGTGACCCTTCCGGACAGCGTAGATACATCCGCTGCGTCCTTGAAATTTGAAAGCTAGACAAGAAAGAATGGCTAAGTCGATGTGTTTTTACTGGAAACTGGGCAATGAGAACTGTTCCGTAAGATATGTATGATGTTTGTATGTCCAGTAGATATCTTTTGTGATTTTTTATTCGCAGTTGCCATGCATTTTTATTATTCTAACTGCATCGAAAACACAGAGATGAAATTTAGAAAAATATGAGACACATAAAATTGTTAAAAAGATGTAAACATTAATCTGTGACTTATTTCTTCGAGCGTTAATGTTTATATGAATAATATGTCTTACATATAGTATATTCTGAACAAAATTCTAAAAGAGTTTTAATTGTGAATATTATCTCATTTAAATTAATGAAATGCGGTAATGCTGTTTAAAGAGGTGAATCGCGAATCAGATGAGTCTGGTGTATTATTGAATACAGTAAATTGATTAAATATGTATATTGTATTATACATATATTATATATATGTTATATACGTATATTTAAACATATAATAATTTGTCGCTCTTACAACATCACACAGTGACGATGGGCAGTCAGCTCCGTTCAATATTTACATTTAATGATATCAACAAATCATAGTGCTATTTGCGTAATTGATGCTGAAAACTGCTAATCCGACAGCATTAATTAATTGATGAAATCCAAAGGATAATCTGTATTTACATAAATAATAAATAGTCATAACGCGTGCACACGAAATATTACGATAGTCAGCAATGCATTAAAATTTAAATCGGTAAAATAAATCAGATATTCTATCGGCTTTGTAAAAAACAAATTTTCTATTGATTTTATATAGCGATTAATTTAAAATCATTAAATAAAAATATATAACAAAAATGTTTCATCAAATTATGGGCAAATGCTACATATTTTAAATCGAAAAATTTATCTTATTCCTTTGCATTAGTTTAATTGAATAAAATTGATATTAATACGCTTCATTAATTCGCCTTAACATTCTTCATATAATTATTTAACAATTAATTTGTTTATCATCATTTTATATTATTTGTCTAAAAATATAAAAGGATTGCAATGATGATGAAAAATACTTAAAAGAAATATTAATTTGCTATCGAAAGCGTATTGCGCGTTTCACGATAGTGAAAGCGCGCGCAAATGACCTAATGAACTCTAAAACAAACCTTAAATGCAGGTAAGAAGAAAGAGCTGTCATGCTGACGTCTTCTTCGTGCTCAAGTACTCAATTTACCGATACTTTCCTCGGACGCTTATGGTGAAAATCACTTACGGATCATAAGCGGAGAACCCGATGGTAATACGTGTTCGTACTAATAATAGGTCCTTTGTAAGTAGAGGGTAGCTCGTACACTAATAATTATCGTCATATGCCGCGTGGCAACGCCTTGGTGCGTTTATCGATAACGTTGTTATCTGACTGAAGATAACGAATATCATTGCACATATACCACGAATTTCATAATTTTCCCGCAGATTATCGAAAAATGCAATTCGTGGACGACGTTATCTAGATTACACTTTACGTGTAATTTTGCCAGTCACGAATATCATGTGATATATACATATATTTAAACACTTAAGTTTTATAAATATTTTTTGACAAAATCTAAACATTTCTTTGCGATATAAATCAAATTAATTTGTATGTTTTAAATGAGATAAGCAGGCGACAAAAACGCTTGGTTTATAACTGATTTTTATCTGATATTTATTTATATTTGAATGTTTAAGCAGTAATTATAAGGTACTTAATTTATATCACATTAAATTAATTGATGATAAACATGATTTTATAACAGTATCTTTATTTCTGTTACTCGAGTTCTTAACATTTTTTCTTTGTAACTGTAAAAATAATAAATGTGCTAATATATTTTAAATAATTTTTCAAATGCTTTTCTAATGCTTGCTATCAAGGAAGATCATTAAAACGTATGAGATAAAAATACGGGATTAATTCTCTTGTATTTAATCGTAATAATGAATATATATATACATATATTTCTTTCTCGAAAATTTTTTTACAATTTTGTAATTTTGAGATGTTTTGGTTAATGATTGTAAATAAGTATTTGCTATTTCGACATTCCAGGACAATGAATTGTCGAAGCGTTTGCGTTGTACAATTTTCCTAATTTAAAAATTATGTAATTTACTAAATATTCGCAAATAAGTTGGAATTTTTTCGTCGATTGTAACGTGAACCGAAGTGGTTTTCGCCAACCCAATGACGCCGCGACTGTGAGAATCGTGGGAGAAGCGCGCAAAATGCCGACGAGTCGCCCTGCGCTGTTTCGAAGGGTCTAAATACAACCCTAAAACTTGCAACCGACAGTCAGAGAGGAATGTATAATTACGGAGCATAAAAGTAACTATCGTCTACTCGCAAAGGCACTTTCGCGCGCGCATCGCGTTTTTCGAGGGTCATTGTACCCACGACGACTCTCGCAAATTCCTATCGTATCTCAGTCGGTTCGGGATGTTTGGTAATTTTTTCCTTGAAAACGGCGATATACAATATATATTGCAAAGAGAGCCGCAGTTTTTAGTTCTCCCGATAACAGTTATCAGAGACTGCCGTGCGGGATAAGGTGGATGAAAAAATGCAGAAACGAACTGTCGCGTTGTTTCGAGGGTGGAAGAGATCTCACAAATCAATGTGTAAAAGCAGTAATTTTTGAAATAACTCCGCAACATGACGCGGATGTTCTTTGTCTCTTTTTCAAGTATATAGTTAACAGATTTTTTTGCAAATTGTAGCTAAGTTTATCCTGCTGTCGCGTATACATATATATGAATTTTATTTATTAGATTTATTTATTTCAATTATCATTACTTATTTATCTCTTTTGTAGAGAATATAATAAATATTCCAGAAAGTAGATGATTAAAGAATAGTATAGTATATAATTTAACATTTTTTCGAAATGCAAATACTATTCTTTCGTGACTTTGCTTTTTACCGCATTTTTATTAAGATATTAAATTGCAATCTATATACCAGAAATGTGGCATTGGTCATAGTCATTTGACGTTTGTCGAGACTAGAACAATTCGAGTTAGCAACGGGGTCGGATCAGATGCGGTATGCATGAAACACCATCTGTCATATCGGATTGTTAACTCAGTTATAGCTCACGCATATCAAATCGTTCAGGGCGCAGCTTAGCCCGAAATGGGCAGCACGGTAATGCGATTTGGATATATAGAGAGTCCTATGGGATGTTATCGGCGTGGAACCTTTTCCCTAGTGATACGATAAATGATATGCATATGTAAATATCACGGCGGCATATTGCGAATCGCCCTAACGTACAGTATAAATGTCTCACGTGAAAAAAAGAATCCTACAATCGATCGTTTCTTGTCTCACAATGTGTCTTAAAGCATTATTTATGTTGCACGGACTTTAATATAATTATGCTCTTTTATAATAAATTATATATTACACTCAATAATTATCAGATTAATAATACTTATCTGATAATACTTTTCTAAATAATTTATAATTAAATAAGTCTTGATATAATATATTTTATTGCAGAGTACAAAAATAAACTTACACCGTGAACAATAAATTTGCGATCTGTATTTGTTCAATCGAATCGTCAAAATAATATATTCATACAACGCCACAAGAAATCCAAATGCGTCTAATTTTCTCTCACGGTTCCATCGACGTTGTTAGGATGATCCCGTTAACAGGATCAGGACTCGCGCTAGACGAAGGGTTCTTGTTATTCGCAATCGCCTTCGTACTCGATCCTTGGGGATTGCTGATCCCTCGTATTTATTTCCCGCTACGCTATAAGAATCAACCTAAATAGTAGGATGTTCATTTGCGGTGTGCGCTACACAATAAAAGAAATTATTTTGTTTTAGCGTACTTTTATTTTTTTATTTATTATATATATATATATATATATATATTACTAAATAAAAATAATATAAAAATATATATGTATATATATATAATTTTCAACATTCTATAAAATTCTATTTTACATTCTATAATGTTCTATTTTTATTATGAAATTATTTATTTAATGTACACTCAATGTGAACTATATACATTAAACTTAAATAAAATATATTAGCCATTTTAGATAATATATTATGGAAAAAATTATTAATTTAATTAATCAAACAGATAAAGAAGCATATTATTCAGTATTTGTAAATTTAAATGATTCGTATAACGATGACTTATTTTATTTCTTTTTCAACAATTCTAATATAGAATGTATATTATTAATTAAAATTAAATAAATATTATTTAAAGAAAAATGAGAGGTAAATAAATGCGCGTAATATGAATTATTAGATGGAGCAATACGTCTCATTCTGCAAGGCACGTATTCTTTGGTTTTCTTTCTGTAAAATGTAATTTAAAATTTTATCTTGGAAAAATCTTGTTGAAACATTTTCATCCCTCATCTGAATAAAAAATAGCCTAGATTCTTTCAAATATTTATATAAGATCAAAGAAAAGATTTTCATTTAGCGATTATGTTTTCTAGGAGTTGTACTAGAAGTTACAATTTTACAGAACAAACAATGGCGACGAATCTAAATTGTCAAAGCTATTTCACAATTCGCTTGTTTCTATATAGACATCATGTTGAAGAGACTTCCGCCTCCTCATCTCAAGCGCACCTCTATCGTCAGACTAATGATTTGCAAACAGTGCCTTTCAGCTAGCTCTTGTTACAAAGTTTTCACAAGGCGTGCCTTACGTGAACAAGACAAGTATCTTGAGATTTTGAAAAGTAAAAGAATCTTTAGCTATATTAAACTCTGTTTATGTCACTGTCCGAATTTTATTTGTGCAAATGCTTTCTGAAATAGTAACTACAAAAAAAGTTATTAAAATTATATAAACAAATCTAAGATACATACTATAAAAAGTTCATGTACACATTAATCTATTAACACATTGATTTATTTCATTCAATTACATACTATATTACATTTATTTTTTATTATCGACATACATCTTGTTTATTTTTATTTTCTTTATTTAAATATAAAGTTTAGTCTTGTTATTATTTAGAGAATGTTAAAGCAAAGATTACTTTTGATTACATATATAAATTTTTTGAAATATACATATAAGAAGTTGGCGCAATTATACATAAAACTGTTTAATATTAATATTAGTATTTTTTATACTAATATATAATTCGCACATTTTAAAAGAATACAAATATAACACGTTCTATTTTTTATTATTGCAATTTATTTCCATCTCTTTATGAAAATATTTAGGTATTATATTAAATATACATTTATATTATATATTTAATATATTATATAATATATATTAGATTTAAATCCACATAAAAACAAAAAAAAACACTTTAATTTAAATAGATTATACAAATTAAATATTAAATGAATACATATAATATTACATAACAAAAACAGAAACAAAATAATATAAAACAATGCAACAAGAAACAATAATATCATAGATACATTATTTTGTAATTTGAATAGATTATATAAATTAAAAGTTATATGTATATTATGTAATGTTATATAACAAAAACATAGTAATATAAAAACAATATAATAGCAAACAATATATCATAGATGCATAATTTTTTTATAATCTACATTATTATTTACTATTGTATTTTGATATTATTATATTACTGTCTTTGTGTGTTATATTTTTTATTAAATGTCTGTCTTCGTTATATATAGCGCTGAATACAAAATGGCGCCATCTCTTGAGAAGATAAATTATCTTTTCGTCTTACATATTCAAAATGATGATAGGAACTTGAAATAATGTATCATATCAAGGTTAAAAACGAACATATATCATTATATTATTTTGTTCGACATAGTTCCTTTTCTACCATAAGAGATTCTATTATAAGATCATTCTAATTTGTTATTATCGTAATATCTTAAGATACATTATCGTAATATCTTAAGATACATTATCGACACCACATTTGATTTTTATTCTACGAATTTGTTATATGATTTTTTATATTGATTTTAACTGAAAAATATTATATAATATATATTTTATATTTTTATATTTAAAATACTTTTTTAATTTTTTTCAATAACTGAAGAAATAAAATTATTGACAAATTTTGACAATGATTTTTTAAGTAGTGTAAATGATGAAATACTTATAAATATTTCTCTTTTGAGAATGTTTTATAATATTAAAATATTTTATTATCATCGCAGACAGCATCATGTCCAAAATTGAAATGTAAGATGTTTTTAAGACGTTTTAGAATATGATATACCTAAAAGATGTCTTAAATACGTCTTATGTCCTGATTTTGGACATGTTTTAATTTTGATGCTGGGTATATTATTAAATATTTAATATATAATTTAATTATTTAATATTATATATTAGATTTACATATATTTTATAATATTTATTTATATTTTTTATTATATAACTGAAAGAAAAAAATTTTAATTAATTATGCTTATAATTAATACTAAATCATTACATTTATTACACATAAAGTACTCATTTTAATTCGTTATTCTTTGTGATAAACCAAACAATTTTACAATTACGATATCAAATGATATAATGTTAACAAACTGTCAAAGTAGATAACATCAAATCTCAGGCACGATTTCTCATTGATAGATTAAATCTTTTTTGAGATAATAAGTTGGAAAATCCATTTGATTATACCTTTGGATAAAAAAAAGGAAATGATATTGTGCGAATGAGATTTAATAACATTATTTATCAAAATATCTTTGCATGATATCTAGTTGTTAAGTATATAGGTATACGTAAACACATATATGACGAATTGATTTATTTTGATAATCATATATGTTAAAATATCAACAAAAATAAAAAGATATTTTATAGTATACTGATAGATATATATATTCTTAATGTTATTATATTTTAAGTGCAATTAAAAATCAATTGTTTCATTGCAAAAAGATCATGTACAGAAACTAAAGAGACTAGCAATAAAAATAATTAAAAATTATATTTTACAATTATTAAAAATTTCGTACGTATTCATATTCATATTAATTATAATAATATTTTATATTAATTGCTAGTATGCTCTATGAAAAAAATACGAAACTGATGCAAAATAAATTTGAAAAAGTTATAATAAAAATCACAAAATATATGCTGGATTATCATATGATATATGATATCTAAAGATCTATTATTATAGAAATATTTTACTAGTTATAATTTCTAATAAATTTGAAATAAATTTTGTATAATATAGTAGTCGAAAAATCATAACAAATAGTTTAATGAATAAAGACATAGAAATGTTTCGGTTATCAAATTACGTATTTCGCAGATAAAAATATCGCAACTTCCTTCCATGATCGATAAAGATCTTCATAGATACATATAGTTTGACTTTATGTCTGATAATTAGGGTTAAATTATTGAGATTATTATATCAAAAAATAATATCGTCTGATGATTAAATTTGCCGAAGATTAAGCAGTGATTTCGTTTTTGTCATTCATGTATATTATATATGTATATATACTAAAGCACATTTATATGTAGTGGAGTGCTCAGGTGATGTATATATAAACCTACGAAAAGCTTAATTATTATCAGTACAACGTCTCATCATGTACGCATTATTTGCTTTCGTAGTCGCCTGCTTAGCAGTAGCTGCTCACGGTAAGAAAAAAAAATAAAAGTGAGAGAGAGAGAAAGAAAGAGGAGGGGGAAACAGACAGAAAAAGAGTAAGGGCAAATATAATTAATTTTATTAAATAAAATTATTCGAAAAATTTATTTAATCTTTTCGAGTTTTAAATTAAGAAAATTGACAAATAAACGGAATGTAATGATTAAAATAAAACCGCGAAATCTATATTTTAATCATTCATAATTATTCTTATTTAAAGAAAAGACATTATATTATATTTTATTAGAACGTTAGAATTGACGTGTAGGATCTTTTAAATTATTGTAATAATTGCCAAATAAAAATTGTTTAATGTTTAATGTTAGTATTGAGTATTTCTCATAAAATTTCGTATTCTTCTTATTGATACATATAAATGATGCAATAATTCAGTATATATCAGAATTAAATATATGTATGTATATATTTCAATTCTTCGATATTAAAGAAAAAATATATTGTATGCAAGAAATTTAATATTGTGTAACAATTTATGAATGAAGTGTACATGGTCAGTATTTGCAATACATCGTTGAAAATTTTTTATGGGTCTGCTTTATTAGACATGGGTTTCCAAAAGTCTGCTTTATTAGACATTTGATTCTATGTCACATATGTTTTCATATGATTACATAGGCTACCCAAATATTCATATTGTTGGTGGGGAAGATGCTCCGGAAGGCAAATATCCGTATCAAGTGTCATTGAGAAGATCAGGATCTCACAGTTGTGGTGGATCCATCGTCAGCAGCCGCACTGTTCTTACTGCCGCTCATTGTGTAGTAGAGTACGTATTTTTTATTTTTGTTTTATATTATATATACATATATATATATTTGTTTTTGTTATATTATAAGTTTATTTTTGTTTTATATTATTCATATATATACCGGTAATACGACGTAGGCTAGATTTTTAATGCCATACTAAAAGAGAAATATTTAGAAGCATATAAGCGAGAAACGATTAATAATGAAAATACATTTATTTAACAGTTTAGTCGGTAATTCCGCGGCTTTGAGACAGTTAACTATCCATGCCGGCACAAATCGTTTAAGCGAATCTGGTGTCGTTTATACAGCGGTCGAAGCCATCGCTCATGAGGATTTCGATTCTTTTGAACTAGTCAATGACGTTGGTTTACTTATTCTATCAACTACTATAGAATTTAAGCCATTGGTACAACCTATAGTACTTGCAACAAGTGACAACGCTCCCGCTGGTCATACCTGCACCTTAACTGGATGGGGAAGAACTTCGGTAAGTTTATCAAATAAAATAATTTATTTTATATAATTAAATTACACATATACACACAAAATTTTGATTTTATCTAATATTTATTGAACTAAATCTATTAAAAATTAAATACAGGAGTTTCTGTGTTGCTCAAAATAGTTATTAATATAGTTATTAATTTTAAAGTAGAAACAACAATAAAAAATAATTATATAAATATGATGGTTTTTTAAATAGGCCAACACACACACACACAGAGCCAAAGCACGAAAAATTAGTTATTCGGAACTGTATCTTTTGGTTTGAGATCACTAAGTTCCATATATAAATTAATCTCGAAACTTACATATGGAGAAATAGGCGCGAAAAATATAGGTCCGAAAAGTCGCTGAAGTGGAAATCGAACCCGCGTCTTTCACTTTCCGGGCGACTGCTCTTACCAACTAAGCTATTCAGACCCTTTCTGAAAAAAATAATTATATTATTTTATAGTTAATTAAGGTTTATAACAAGTGAAAAGTTTTTGACTAATAAATTTTTGAATAATAAATTGCATAAAAGAAATTATACATAATAATAATAATGCCAATATTAAAATAACTACAAATTTTGTAAAATTTTAAACTTTTGTTTTTAAACTTATAAAGAATTATATATTATAGTACACACAGATAAAACAAAACTATATTTATAAAATTTTACTATTCTACATGTAATTTTATAATCTATAATTTATTATTTAGGTTGGTGGCTTAGTTCCTAATAACTTACAACAAATCGAGTTGCTTGTTCACGATCAAGCTAAATGCAAAGAAGCCCACTCGAATGTACGGCCAACTCATATTTGTACGCTAACAAAAGCAGGCGAAGGCGCGTGCCATGTAAGTATACTGATCTTCTAAACATTTAATTATTTAATTATTTAATTAAAAGATCGTCTGTACGAGAGAGGGACATACAATAAATGAGAAAATATATTATCACAATAATTTATTTAATAGAGTATTCCAGAGTATTTTAGAAATCTATTGCATATAAAATACATTATAAATACTAAATTCAATTGCATAAACTTTCTCATGATATATTTTATATTATTTATTTCACAATTATTATAAATCTGTTTATTGACTTAAATATATTGAAAGTACAATAGATATTGTATAAATATATTGCTGTATAATGTCATGTTTTTAAATGTATGACATTAATCATGAATTATATATATAAAAGATTTAAATTGGATGAAATCTTTATTTAGGAAATAGTATTATCATCTGTATTAATTTTTCAGGGTGATTCCGGTAGTGCTCTTGTTGCTGATGGTGTTCAGATCGGTATTGTCTCTTTCGGCATACCATGCGCTCAAGGAGCTCCCGATGTATATACTAGAGTATCCGCTTTCCAAGATTGGTTAAAACAACATGTTGTTGGATAAAATAAAATAAGATATATCTTACTTATAAACATGTTGTATGTGTAATTAATATTTTTGTATAGCTTATAATTTTATCATAAAACTAATAGAGTAATGATTAATATAAATGTGATAATCATTACAATGTGATAACTATAAATGTGAAATTATGCAATGACCTAAATACAAATACATGTTTAATTAATAATCTACATATATATTTAATTTCTTATGATAAATAATAAATTATAATATCTATATAGATGACTTAAATAAAAGAAAATTTATTTGTGAATTGAAAGTTATTTATTTTCTAACTAAATTATACAATAATTATATATATATATATATATATATATATATATATATCATACATATATACATATGTGCATATTTAAATTTTCAAATATACATAATACTCAATATTTAAATAAAATATTTATTTCTAATTCTTACAAGTAACTTTTTATATATTTAAATAGATAATAATTCCGTTGATGAGTAAAATTTTATTTCTTATTTGTTATTTGTATTTGCAAATTTGTTTAAGTCTAATCACGTTGTAATTAATGTTAAAGCTGAATTTCATTGTAGAATATGGCATTATCTTTCTAATGTTATCATAAGATGCAATCTAATCGATAAATTAACTGTATACCCATGTACTCTTTAGATAGTCTAGAAAAAACTTATAATGTCGATAAAAATTAACTTAATTAAAGTTCTCTAGTACTATTGTTTCAACCTATCTTACATAAGTTCGAAGTATAGACTAAAAATAAATATTGAGTGCATTTTATCATATATGATATCATAATGAGGAGAATTCCGAATCGTCACGAACACGTGATTCATATCTTGTTGCACAAACTTTAGAAACATATATAAACCCCTATGAATGCATCTTTGCTTCAGTCATTATCAATAAATCTACAATCAAAGATGCATACACTCGTTTGTCTTTTATTTGTCGCTTTGACATACGCCGTACAAGTACAAGGTAGGTAAATAATTCTAAAACATTAATCGGATTAATTGTTACTTAAAAAAAAGAAAAACAATTTGATTCTAAATTTATCAATAAATCTGTAATTTTTTAAACAGAGAAAAATTTATTTAAATATAAAGTTTCTAAATATCAATTGTTAATATAATGTGCAATGTCATTTTTTTGATATTGTTATTAAAAGTATATATGTACAGTAAATATAAATACATTTTGTGATACTAAAATATAATGAATTTATTTTTGTTAAAAGGGGGTTTATCTCCTCGTATCGTCGGGGGCAGGGATGCTCCTGTTGGCAAATATCCATATCAAATATCATTCAGATATCTTGACTTACACGTGTGCGGTGGTTCTCTCATAAATTGTAAGAACGTTCTCATCGCAGCACATTGTGTTGAAGGGTACTTTAAACATTATTCAAATCTTTATTTTATTATATTATTGAAATTTAACTAATTTTTTAATATGTCAAATATTACGATATGCAAAATAATCAGCTTTTAAAAACAAAATTGTTTTGGCAAAATTTTAATTTTTTCTATTTATGTTGATTTTGAAAAAAATTATAAAAATTTTAAAATATTTTTTTTAATGTAGACCTAGAACTAAAATTACAAAATATATTATACATAATACATTATTCTAAATTATTTAAAATGAAATAATTGTAGTTTATATACAGAAATAATGATTTTTCAGAATTATAATACTTATACAGAGAATAACTGTAATATATGTATATTTTATTTTCTCTGTATTTTGACATTATCTTGCTTCTAATAAATAATATAATGTTACTCAAGAATTTTACCAACTTTCTTTTTATTAATAAAGTTTAATATTAATTAACCATAATATTATAATTGATTGTCACTTCTTATTATTATACGTATTTTTTGTCATTAGGGCAGAAAATCAATTACAATATTTATCGGTGCACGCCGGCACAAATTATTTGAACCAAACAGGATATTCTTATAAAGTAGCGAATATTACTATTAATGAAAATTGGGATAGAGCACAGCTTATTAATGACATCGCTCTAATTCATCTTGCAACTTGCATCAAATACAACGCAGTAGTGCAGCCGATAAAGCTTGCGACAAGTGATACAGGTCTTGAAAACAAACCTTGTACATTATCCGGATGGGGAACTACTAGGGTAATATTGAATTCTCATAATACATGGAATATCGCAAAAAAAACTCGTTATATATGTACTTATGTCAAATTAGATATCATATGTATACCTATAAAAGAGTCAGTATTATTAGATAATATAAAAATTTATTTATTTTTACGTATAATAAATCGCGAGAAAAAATTTTTGTCATACATTATTCGTTATTTGCTTTATATATTATTCTTGACAAATAACAATGAGTTTATCTTTTTAGTTGGGTGGCAATGTTCCGAATAGTTTGCAAGAAATTGATTTACTAATTTATCCTCAACAACAATGTAAGGCAGCACACCCAGGAATATTAAATAGCCATATTTGCACTTTGACTAGAGCAGGACAAGGAGCGTGCCATGTATGTCGTTGATGTAAAAAAATAACAATTTAGAAAAAAAGAAAATTTTAATATTAAACATCTAAGCACACACCAATTGCATTCTTTTCTAATAATAATTTAAAATCATTATTTACAATAATGAGCAATTTATTATTGTAATATTGATATCTCATAAATTACAACATTGTTCTAGGGTGATTCCGGTAGTCCTTTAGTGGTTAATGGAACTCAAGTTGGAATTGTTTCTTATGGTCGACCATGCGCGATTGGATATCCAGATGTATACACAAGGGTGTCCAGTTTTTTGTCTTGGATTATACAGAATATAAAATAGGATTTATTGTATTTGTTTATTAAAATGTCAATCTATTTATATATGAGTCATAATTTAGTTTTAAAATATGGTTTATATAAATTTATTTCTGAATAAGAAATGTACTACATTTTCTTGTCAATCAAATAAACTGTTACAAATATAATACGAGAGTAATTAATAAATCTATCAAAATGTCTTCATGTTTTTGATACAATGAAAACAACGTTTTCTATTTATAATAATTGTCTCTTTATTCACAATAATCTATTTTGTAATATAGGTTTATGATTGTAAAAGTCAAAATTTGTAAACCTTTATGATATTATACCTTTATGATATAGAATCTCAGATGAAGAAAAATCCTTTGACAAATAAATACAAATCATAATTAGTAGTATTAAATAATTTTTTTATTAATTGATTGAAAAAAGCACACTTACGTATTTATATCAAAAGTTAGTCGATTTTAAAAAGTTCTGTTATTCTAAAACAGTTCTTTTATATCCAATTTCATCAACGTCGGTTAATTTTAACCTCCGATTTAAACTATACCTTTGTTTCTGTTCAAGAACATATCTAAAGTTAATCAATGCAGAAGAAATTGGCCATAAGAGAACTGTTTTAAAATAATAGAACTTTTTAAAATCAACTAACTTTTGATCTAAATACGTAAGTAGGTGCTATTCTCAAATCAACTGCATGATAAAAAATTATTTAATACTTATAGTATTAAGTATATCCTCGCATTTTCTAAAAAGTTCTAATCGCAAACAGAAATGATGAGCAGAAAAAAAATATATATTTATATTTAAGATTTTTTTAATTTCAAAGAAGATATAACTCATGAAGTAACAGAGAAATATATACATATACATATATATATATAATTTTATTGTCGCTTGAGTTATATAAAACTTTTAACTCTGTACATACTTTTGATTAGTAACATTTGTCAATTATCAAAACCAGATGCCTAATCAAATTTATCTGATCCTTGCGTATCAATAACATTATGTGTGCATGTATTTTCATATTAATCAATTAGGTATGTGTATATTTATATAAAGTAGCTTTGTGTGTTTTCAATCGTAATTTGTATCGCAATGCATTCATTCTTTAGTTTCTTGATTATTTGCACAGCTGTGTTCGGTCATAGTAAGTAACAATATAGCTGGTAGTAAATAACATATTAGCCGTTATTATTTATGACATATTGCTATTTAATGGACAGCTTTATCAATTCCAAAATGAGTCTGCATGAAGGGCCTTTAAAATATCGTTATTGAACTTCGAAGTTCGAGCGTCTGCCGGTATGCGACTCATCTTCGAGATTAAAATTTCCAGTTCGAAATTTTGAGAACAATTTTTGGACTGTTCTGACATCTACAACATTTTCTTCTAATGTATTGCACAAATCTTTCGTAACCGCAGTTGCATTTTTTTCTCTTTTCACTCTTCTTAAATTTGTAGAGTATACATGCAATGTCTTAAATGAGCTATATCGACTTCATGTTTATGTGCAACGAATTGCATATAAACATGAAGTTATGTGAAACAAATATATATATATATATATATATATATATATATGTACATATCATACATACATGTATACCTATGTGCATATATAGATTTTCAAATATACATACCCTTCCAAAAAATAACTGGTACATCAATAATATATTGGTTGATATATTATTGAAGAACTATTATTATGTCAGTAATTTTTTCGTGTTTTTGTAGTTTTTTTTTGTACGTGTAATACTCAATATATATAATACTCAATATTTAAATAGAAATTTTATTCTATTAAAATATTTATTTCTAATTCTTACAAGTAACTTTTTATATATTTAAATAGATAATTATTCCGTTGATAAATAAAATTATTTTATTTTTTATTTGTATTTGCAAATTTGTTTAAATTTGATCACTTTGTAATTAATGTTAAAGCTGCAATTTATTGTAGAGTATGGCATTATCTTTCTATTGTTATCATAAGATGCAATATAATCGATAATTTAACTGTATACGCATGTACTCTTTAGATAGCCTCGAAACCTTATAATGTTGATAGAAATGAACTTAATTAAAGTTCTTCAGTACTATTGTCTTAATCTAGCTTACATAAGTTCGAAGTATAGACTAAAAATAAATATTGAGTGCATTCTATTATATGTGATATCGTAATGAGGAGAATTTCGTATCGTCACGAACACGTGATTCATATCTTGTTGCACATACTTTAGAAACATATATAAACCCCCATGAATGCATCTTTGCTTCAGTCAATATCAATAAATCTACAATCAAAGATGCATACACTCGTTTGTCTTTTATTTGTCGCCTTGACATGCGCCGTACAAGTACAAGGTGTGTAAATAATTATAAATATTAATAAGATTATCTGTTCTTGTATTTAAAAATAAAAGAAAGACAATTTGATTCAACATTTATCAATAAGTTTGTAATTTTTTTAAACAAAGAAAAATTTATTTAAATATAAAGTTTCTTAATATTAATTGTTAATATGATGTGCAATGTCATTTTTTTGATATTGTTATTAAAAGTATATATGTACAGTAATATAAATACATTTTGTGATACTAAAATATAAAGATTTTATTTTTGTTAAAAGGGGATTTATCTCCTCGTATCGTTGGGGGCAGGGATGCTCCTGTTGGCAAATATCCATATCAAATATCATTCAGATTTCTCAACTCACACTTGTGTGGTGGTTCTATCATAAATTGTAAGAACGTTCTCATCGCAGCACATTGTGTTGAAGGGTACTTTAAATATTATTCAAATCTTTATTTTATTCTTTAAATATTATTTAAATCTTTATATTATTGAAATTTAACTAATTTTTTAATATGTCAAATATTACGATATACAAAATAATCAGCTTTTAAAAACAAAATTTTGGCAAAATTTTAATTTTTTCTATTTATGATGGTTTCGAAAAAAATTATAGAAATTTTAAAATATTTTTTAATGTGGACGTAGAACTAAAATTACAAAATTTATATTATACATAATACATTATTTTGAATTATTTAAAATGAAATAATGATGATATATATAGAAAAATAATGATTCTAGAATTATATATTTACACTTAGAGAATAACTGTAATATACTCGTATGTATATTTTATTTCTTGTGTATTTTGACATTATCTTGCTTCTAATAAATAATATAATGTTACTCAAGAATTTTACTAACTTTCTTTTTATTTTAATAAAGTTTAATATTAATTAACCATAATATTATAATTGATTGTCACTTCTTATTATTATACGTATTTTTTGTCATTAGGGCAGAAAATCAGTTACAATATTTATCGGTGCACGCCGGCACAAATTATTTGAACCAAACAGGATATTCTTATAAAGTAGCGAATATTACGATTAATAAAGATTGGAATGGATTATTGCGTATTAATGACATCGCTCTAATTCATCTTGCAACTTGCATCAAATACAACGCAGTAGTGCAGCCGATAAAGCTTGCGACAAGTGATACAGGTCTTGAAAACAGGCTTTGTACATTATCTGGATGGGGAACTATTAGGGTAATATTGAATTCTCATAATGCATGGAATATCGCAAAAAAAAACTCGTTATATATGTACTTATGTCGAATTAGATATATTGTACATATGTATACCTATAAAAAAGTCAGTATTATTAGATAATATAAAAATTTGTTTATTTTTACGTATAATAAATCGCGAGAAAAAATTTTTGTCATACATTATTCGTTATTTGTTTTATATATTATTCTTGACAAATAACAATGAGTTTATCTTTTTAGTTGGGTGGCAATGTTCCGAATAGTTTGCAAGAAATTGATTTACTAATTTATCCTCAACAACAATGTAAGGCAGCACACCCAGGAATATTAAATAGCCATATTTGCACTTTGACTAGAGAAGGACAAGGAGCGTGCCATGTATGTCGTTGATGTAAAAAAAATAACAATTTAGAAAAAAAGAAAATTTTAATATTAAACATCTAATCACACACCAATTGCATTCTTTTTTAATAATAGTTTAAAATCATTATTTACAATAATAAGCAATTTATTATTGTAATATTGATATCTCATGAATTGCAACATTGTTTTAGGGTGATTCCGGTAGTCCTTTAGTGGTTAATGGAACTCAAGTTGGAATTGTTTCTTACGGTCGACCATGCGCGATTGGATATCCAGATGTATACACAAGAGTGTCCAGTTTTGTGCCTTGGATTATACAGAATTTGAAATAGGATATTTATTGAATTTGTTTATTAAAATGCCAATCAATTTATGTATGAGTCGTAATTTAGTTAAAATATAGTTTGTATAAGTTTATTTTTGAATAAGAAATGTACTATATTTTCTTATTAATCAAATAAATTGTTACAAGTAATACACGAGAACATAAATTGCAAAATAAAAACTTTTGTACTCGGCTCGAATTATTGTGTTACAATAAAAATAAAATATCGACGGCAATCGGAGCCTGTGCGGATGTCATGCACAAAATTAAAAATTTAAATGAGATCTTAAGTAAAACTCATTTATTAAAATCTAAACGTTTTGACCCACTTCGGGTCTTCTTCAGTAGCTGCAAAATACAAAAAAAAAATTTAATTTTGTGCATGACATCCGCACAGGCTCCGATTGCCGTCGATATTTTATTTTTATTATAAATTGCAAAGTTTACCAATATTATCCATGATTATTAATCCTATTTCATCACTACAAATTTTAAATGTTTTTAGAGTCATATTTTAGATTTATATATAAGTATAATATTTTTGTAATATTTTATACTCTTTATTTCTTATTTGAATAGAGCTGCCAGATTTTCACATTGTTGAATATGTTTCTATTATGTGTTAATCTTCCAATATTTAAATCTTTCAATATTTAATTTTCTATTGTTTCTTGATTTTTTAATTTCTAATATTATTAATCTATTGAATTTAATTATTCCAGCAATCAGATATATTTAATTAGTTCATATAATTTAGATTTACCGATCCTGAAGCTCTAAAAAACGTGATAGTGCTGGCACGAACTTTTTAAAAGCACCTGGTGATATTTACAATGTTGAGAACGTTATTATTCATCCTAATTTCAATATAACTTTAATCCGTTATGACATCGGTTTACTCCATCTGAAAACAGACATAGTATTCAATAATGTGGTGCAACCAATCCTTGTCGTAATCACAAATTCCGTTCTACAATAGTTGGTGATCCTTGTTTTTTGACTGGATAGGGAACACTCAAGGTAAGAAGCAATAAATTAAGTATAATCATCATCATGAAAGGTAATCAATCATTCAGATTTTCCTTCATATTATCAAGTATCAGATTATATCATTTGTCTTTAAATAATAATTTTTTTTATACACACTTTTTATACATCATCTTCAATTATTTTTAGTACGTAGGCAAAGTACCCGATAGACTTCAAAAAGTTGATTTAAAAGTTTATTCGCAAACAAAATTTCATTCTTGAATGTACGAGATAATCATATTTGCGCATTTTCAAAATATAGCCAGGGGGCAGGTATCTTTAATTTACAATTTTTCCTAACATTATCTATATATATATATATATATATATAATATATTAATATCAAATTAATTGTAACGTTTTTTTAAGAGTATATAAATTAATCCAATGTCTTTTATTCGCTAGTAATTTATAATATAGGATAATAATCCATGATAATAAACTAATAACATTTTTTAAAGACGTTTAGGCCCGGTTCCACAAACGTCGGTTAATTAACTTTAACCTCTGATTAAATTATATCTACGTCTCTTCTTAAGTACGTATGTGAAAAGAGACAAAAATATAGTTTAACCGGAGGTTAAAGTTAACCGACGTTTGTGGAACCGGGCCTTAGTAATTTATTTTTCTTCCTGTTATTATTAAATCAGTAATTGTTTAATAACAAATATAGTTATAAATTTAAAGTGTAAGACAGGCAATAAGAGCCAAATCGCAGATGACAGTGCGTTATCCCAACGAAACTAAATTTTTTCGTTAGAATTAAATACTTGTGCACAAGGCACCAAATTTTACTTGGTCACGGCCAAGATTTAAAATTAGAATAATTTCTACAAGAGATTTTAATTCCATACATCCCCTGTTCCCCCCTAAGGAAATAAATGCGAGAGAAAAATATAGATCCGAAAGTCGCTGAATCGGGAACAAATATAGTTGTTTGATTCTTATCACTTATACAAGACGTTTTCACGACGAATTTATGTATTGTCAACACGATATGAAAATGGGACAAAAATTTATAAGAATTGCTATTTTATATTAGCTTAGTACATATTTTATATGAAATGATATATCTCACATGTTTATTTTTGTAATATTTTAGTGATAAGAATTTATCACTTTATCGATACATCTTTTGTAAAAAGATAATTTTATTTTTATCTATATATAGATGTCTCGATTAAGTAATGATAAGTTAAATTAAAACCACATATGATTTGATAAAGCTATTATAAAACCAATTTATTTAAATTAATTAATGTATTTATATAAATATTACAGAATTTTAGGAATAATAGATACAATTGCATTGTAAAACAATACATTATTATAATTACTTTATGCGGTGACATACATTTAGAAGGCACTTTAGAGGTCCAGAAGCTATCACGAATTTAATATCTGAAAAAGTATTTTAATTAAGATATTAAAATTATACCAATTATTGTCTTAATATTATATATGTGTCAAAAATAACTTTTATATAATGCATTAAAATGCTGGACATTACATTTTTCTTTCTTAATAGTATTTTATGAATTATCGTCACATTTTAACGTCAACACACCCAGTAAGCAAGAAATATTTAATCAATATTTCAAAATGTTGATTTTATATCAATTTTCTAAACGTTATGATATAATGATTTATAAATACGTTTAAAATATTATTAATAAATATTTAAAAAAATATATTAACTGATGTTTTATAAATGTTTTGAAAATATTATTTAATAACATATTGCTCTCAAAATATTAATAAAATATTTTAAAAACGTTAATTTCGATATTACCGAAACCTCTAAATCGATGTCAAAGTTTGTTCATAATGATATTGCATACAACGTGAAAAACTACATACTTGACAACAATAATAATGTTAATAATCAAGAAAGGCAAATCTGAGCATACTTAATACATACAATGATAAATTTATTATAAAAGAAACACGACCTAGTATAGTCAAATTACATTTGATAAAGAACTTCAGTAAAAAACAAATAAACCGGAATTAATAAACTTCGTACGTTTCGGTCCTTTTTTGGACCATCTTCAGCGGCTTAATCGCAAATCTCAATAAAAATCAATATTAACAATAAAGTTGTCTACGTATCGATCAAGTTAAAGTCATGCAGATCAGTATACTCGTTAACAATGTTCCGTATGAAAGACATAATTTGGCAGCAATCCATTATTAACAAACTGTTAAGAAATAAATAAAGATACGGTAAATTAAATATTTAAGAATTTTAAAAATAATAAAAATAATAATGTTGTAGCAATGAATTTTTGCTTGACATCTTTATATTATGATTATATATGCGAAATTCGTAAATACAGTTTTATGATTCATATTTACAAATTAATTGCTATATATATGTGTTATTGCAGAATTTAATTGAAAATGGTATACTTATTATATTATTATGCGATTGTACTAAATATTGGTGTATGCTTTAAACTTTAAATTATTTATACAGCATTTATATAAATGACAACATTGCATACGTAATCGACAAGTCGCTCACATATTTTACACTGAATACCAAAGATAAACGTAACTTAAATATAGATACGTGTCAACTAATGATTTCATCGACATTGTAGGATACTTATATAAATTGAAGATAACATGTTCAATATGTCACATAATATTTATCACTATGAATGTTCTCGCTGGTCTCATAGTTGCGTGCCTGGCGTTCAACGCTTATGGTAAGTCTATTCATGTAAAATACTATTAAAGAAGAAAAAAAATATAATTTATTATATATTTTAATGAATTATACAAAATTGTTTTTATAATATTATTTTTATTATATGTTAATATTATACAATACAATATACGTAATATTTTCATCGCGCACATGACACGTTTCAAATGAATTATGAAAAACTATCTGTCTCATATAATCTCACTTATATAAATATTATTTCTCTTTGTATACTGAATTAATTTGTATATAATTCCTTTTTAATTTCCAATTTTAATGAATTTTTATATCACAACATTTAGATAGATTTGATAGATTATTTATTTTCAATCAGGTTTGCCACGTTCACAAATTATCGGCGGCAATGATGCTGTAGATGGTTTATATCCTTATCAGGTATCATTGAGAGATGCATTAAAAAACAACACATATTTTTGTAGTGGAGCTATAATTAGTGCACACTACGTTATCACCGCTGCGCAATGTCTTACTGAGTATGTGTGTATATATTTTTTTCAAAAAAATATTAAGATTTTAATTTCTTAATATTTAATTGCCCGATTTATATAATCGAATAAGAACCATGAAATTAATATAAATTTAATATCATTCAATAAATATAGCGAAAATTAACAAATCAGCGTTGCAACGCTGTTTGTAGAAATATAATAATGTATATAATTCTACTCGTGTATTTCCTCATCGTGTTATCAGTGATTGATGATAATAATATAGCGTTACACATAATAGTAGCAGAAAATATTGTTTTTGAAGTTATCGGACAAAAAATTGCAATAAAACAATCCTTGTATTATATATATGTATTATATTTAATATTCTGTAAAAATTATTGAATATTGTGCTACTTTATATAATAAAAATGAATTTTATATTTAATTTAAAAATTTTATATCTGGAGAAGAAGAAGCTTTGAGAAATATTTATGTAATAATAATTTTAGTACTTTCAGAAATGCAGTTTATTTAGTTTATACGCAATTAATATTATTTTACTTTCAAACATTTATATCGTTCAGATTAAATATGAAATTTAAAACATACCAAATAATATTTTTTTTAGGAGAAGTACGAATCCATACGATGTTAAAATCGCTGTTGGAAGCAATTACCTTGATACACCTTCCGTATTATATAGAGCAACAATCTTTATAGTACACGCTGGTTACAATAAATTGTTAAATATTAACGATATTGGTTTAATCTATGTATCAGATATTATCACATTTAATGAAAATATCCAACCGATTAATTTAGTAACTGCCGATCAGAATTATGACAACTATCCGCTTTTAATTACTGGCTGGGGAAAACTCTGGGTAAAAACTATAAAATATATTTTGTAAAATCTAAACTGTGTTCACACTTCAACGAATACAATTTTAATCTTGAGAATTTTTAAGAACAATATAATTTCTTTATTATTTTGATTTTAAATGCATTTATTTACTCTAAATAGAAATCAAGAAATAATTTTTTAAATAAGTATTAGAAGTTTATAATGTATAATTTGCTTCAAATATATATATATATATATATATATATATATATATCAGATCTTGAATATAAAATCAAGAAGTTATTTTTTCTTATCTTCTATTTCTATAGCTAGTTTAATAAATTGATAAGTTATAATAATTAAAAAATACAACAATTTTATGTACTATTGTCAAAATAAAAAATTATAGATTATTACGAAATATAAATTGTAAAAGCAATGCTCTAAAATAAAAATTATAATAATAATCTGGCTTATATGTGTCAAATGAGAATTAAAAATAATTCATTTTAGATGGGAGGTCCGACTCCTAATCATTTGCAAGAGATTATAGTGAAAGGATACTCTCAAGAAGAATGCAGCAGTTTCAATAATATTAAGAAAACTCATATATGTACTTTTACAATGGAGGGTGAAGGAATATGCCACGTAAGTAATTGTATAAAATAAGCAATGTATGTGTGTAAGTTAAAATATCTTTATTTTATAATGTTGAACTATATATATATATATATATATATATATATATATATATGTATATATGAATATGTGAATGTATATATGAACTATATATATATATATATGTGTGTACATATATATATAATAATTTAAATATAGCATAGTCTATGATATATATATATATATATATATATATATATATATTTGTATGAATTGATATCAAAGAACAAAAATCTCAAAATTTTTGTTATTTAAATATTATTTTTCAGGACTTGTTGCTTCTAATAAATGTGGTTACTCTTTTTTATGAAAATAATTTTAATATTATATATTATATAATAGAAATTTGGTTATATTACACATTAGGTTATTAAAAAAAGTTAATAATATACATTCTTGAACAGAGCTTAACTAACATACGTATATTAAATATATTCTTTCAATAGGGCGATGCTGGCAGCCCACTCGTTGCCGATGGCGTTTTAGTTGGTCTCGTATCATACAGTTTTGGTCCATGTGGTGCAGGTTTTCCAGACGTGTCTACTAGAGTATTTCACTATAAATCATGGATTAACTTTCATACTTCTATAACATATTTCTGATTTACAATAAATGATATCTTATTAAAATATATTTTTCAATAAAATATTATTTTCCAATATTATAATACATTTGCGATGTATATATATTTTTGTATGTGCATAATATTATCAAATTAATTAATCATTGATAAACATATTTGCGATAGGATGAACAGGTGTTCTTAACAAAAAATTTTATCGTTGATTAGGTGATAATTAGATTATTTTTTATGTTTTAGAGAATTGCATTTTATATTTTTATTATTTAGTATATACATGCATTCACAAATGCACAGGTTGTTTTTTGTACATTTAGACAATTATGGATTTATTTGTATTGTTACGGATTTATTGCAGCATATGTGTGTTTTTATAAATGATATTTAAATGAATTATACATATAATAATATGATCTGGCTGTACATTGAAAATGTTTGACGTATTAAATGATTATTTTTTAAAAAGATTTTTATGACAATTATGCAGTGCTTTTAAAATATTAAGAATTTATAAATGATTTGCATATGGTAGATGACTGATTATTAACAGTTTGCGTAAAATGATACATCATCTGTAAAATTTCCCGAAATGATATGAGTAATCAAGATATCATTGATTAAATACCAACAGTTATCATATTTACCTGAAAATAACTTGATTTTTATCTAAATTTTGCGAGATTAATATAGCACATATATATGCAAAGTACTTTGAACTTTGTATGAATTTATGCAAATATATTAAAAAAATTATATTATAAAAATATATTATGTAGAAATATATAGTGCAATATAAAAATGTAAATCAATAAATTAATAATGCTCTAAATTAACTTTATCCAGTTATGAAATTGTAAAGTATATTTTTACTTGTATATATAATAGATATAATAAATAAATGATTATAGATAAATGTAATAATTTTAATTTAAATGAAACTATCATACGCGCGCATACTTATATAATTTTATTATAATTCTATTATAAAATAACATAAAATTATGGAATTTAATACATATACACCTGAATTCGTATGATCTGGAAAAGAAAGAAAAAAATTAGAATATTTTAAACATTTTCTTTATAAAAATATATTTCTTAGAAATAATTATTATAAATTCTATTGTGAAATGTATAATAACCTCTAGTTATGATATTTCCACAAATTCAGCAAAAAATATATGATTTAACATATCATCTAATCATCCTATTTATTATTATCGCGTTTTATTTATAGATAGCAGTAAATTGTAAATTATCAATACTATCATGATTTTCTATTAGTACACGATTCATATCCTTCATAATAAGATAATCTTCATAATAAGATAATCATGTCCTAAATATCGAGATGCGTTAACTGATGATTTCGATTAACGCAGCAGCATACTTATATAAATTGAAGACAGCACGTTCGATATGCCACAGTACTTATCGCTATGAATGCTATCACCGGTCTCATAATAACGTGCTTGGCGCTCAGTACCCATGGTAAGCACATTTGTTAATTAAAATTTTATTAGTAGATAATAGGTAAATACAGAAATTATTATACAAAATAAAATTCGTATTGTAACAATGTTATTCATTATGAAATGAATCGTGAATAATGTAGGCTTATATCAATTGCACTATCTCTGTGCCCATCAAATTTGTTCCTTTTTTTATACTATATATACTTATTAATCATTACAACAATTATTTGTCAAATTATTTATTTGACACTTAGCATTGTATAATTAAAAAATATGACTGTGCAATATTAAAAAATTTTAAAACAAAATTTATATATATACCCAGTAAGCAAGAAATATTTAATCAACATTTTATTATGTTGATTTTATATAAATTTTCCAAACGTTATGATATAATGTTGTATAAATATGTTTAAAATATTATTAATAAATATTCTAAAAAATATTTTAACTGATGCTTTATAAATGTTTTAAAAATATTATTTAATAACATAATGCTCTCAAAATATTAATAAAATATTTTAAAAACGTTAATTTTAACATTATTGAAACCTTTAAATCAATGTCAAAGTTTGCTCATAATGATGTTGCATGCAATGTTAAAAACTACATACTTGACAGCAATAATAATGTTGTAGCAATGATTTTTGCCTACTGGGTGTATATATATATATATATATATATATATATATATGTATGTATGTATGTATGTGTGTGTATATATATTGTTATAACAATTAATGGTTTGTATCAATCCAAAATTGATTCTTTTAACAACATATGCAAAAATAAAAAAAGAATATTTTCAATGAAAAGGTTTGCCAATTTCACACATCATTGGAGGCAAAGATGCTCCAAATGGCCTGTATCCTTATCAAGTATCATTGAGAAATTCAAAGAATAATAGGCATTTTTGCGGTGGAGCTATCATCAGTAAGAGATACATTATTACCGCTGCGCATTGTTTTAATAAGTATGTATGTCTTCTTTCTTTTCACATTCAAAATATTCAAATTTTTAATGGAAAATTTATATATATTTTATATTTATATTTATATACATATTTTTTAATCAAATGTAAATATAAAAATATTGTTATTAATTACACTGTTATATAAGACACACTAACGCAATAATTTTTAATTATATATAATTTAAAATAATCTTGCACAAATAATTGCAAAGTTTGCAGAATACAGTGATAATATAATTATTTGTATTTTTATAGCCTGTAAAAATGTAACCTATTTTATTTGATAAAAATTTCTGCCAATTTTTAAACATTTTTTTTTTTAAATTAAAGAATTTTGCAACTGATCGTAATCTTTATCGATTATTAGTCTCAACCAGCCATCTGATGTTCTTGTTGCTGTTGGAAGCAATTACCTTGATGCACCGCGTGCTGTGTATGAAGTTGCAAAATTTATACGACACGATGATTTCGACAACTATCTGCATATTAACGATATCGGTTTAATTCGTGTAGTAAAAAATATCAAATTTAACAAGAATATTCAACCGATCGCCTTGCCATCCACAGACTCTAACTATAACAATCGTTATCTTGTAGTTACTGGCTGGGGAAGACTCCGGGTAAATATAAAATTTCACTAAATTCTATTGATTATTTTAATATATTTTTCAAATTTTGTAAATTTACTTTATTAACTTATTGAAAAAAATGTAGATATATATTCTGTTTTTGCATAATTTTTCTATTATTTTTATTTCGAAAAATATGTCAAAGAAAATGACTGGAAAAATTTACATATGATAATCTTTACATTTATTTATATTACAATTTATATTTATATTATTATAATAATTGTCATGATAATTCAGCGTATAATTTTTATACATATAAGATGAGACAGCATCTAAATTAAAAATAATTTCTTAGGCGGCCGGTCCAAATCCTAATCACTTGCAAGAGATTAGGGTGAAGGGATATTCGCAAAAGAAATGCAATACACATTACCAAAATATCGTAAAAACTCAAATATGTACTCTTACGACACAGGGTGAAGGAATGTGCAACGTAAGTATAATCGTAAAATAAATTGTATATAAAACAATGTGTACTTTGTGGTAATGTTTACATAAAAAGAGTATATACTTACCCCAGCTAACCATTTGCTTGGAAATTATTAACAATCGGGAAACAACATACGACCAAATATGGCTGAAAATCCAGGGCCTATTGTGTCCTCGAGTGCGCTCCAATTGCAATCAAAAGTTGAAAGTATATCCTAACATCAAGTTGGGTGCAACGCCAGAGCAGATCTGTCACTAACAGTGCGACGACAGATTAGCAACAGACTGGGAACAGATTTGTCAATCGTAAATTGAGGACAGATTTGCGCCAAATGTTCAGCAAATCGAAGAAAAATCCTAGATCTGAAGAATTTGCTGCATTTTTGGCATCAATCTGTTGTCAACACTTTTGACAGATCTGCTTGCTACTCATTGCCACTTTGTCAATATAGTCTGCTAACAGATGATGTTAGGAAATATTTACTGAATTTGTGCTCACAGTGTTTGTAATGACAAAATATGTTTCTTATCTGCTGCCATTTTACAAAACAAAAGTTGTTGCTTACATTTGCCTCCGCAGAAATGGTTAGCTGAGTACTTTATTTCTAATAAATGAATTTCGTATATTTATACAATTACAGAGTCCGAAAAATTAATACTATACATGTCGATATGAAGAATATTGACACAGATATTAAGATATATAAAATATATTATTTCGATAGGGTGATTCCGGTGGACCACTCGTTGCTGATGATGTTCTCGTTGGTCTTGTGTCCTTTGGTGTACTTCCATGTGGTAGCGGCAACCCAGATGTATTCACCAGAGTATTTTATTACAAGAAGTGGATTAATTCTTTCACACAGGGATCTGAATGATGACAGTCGCATAAAATATGCCAAGATGTGATTCGAACGCATTATTTTTTTCATAATATATTGTACTTGTACATACGTTCAGTTTTTGTAGATGCATATGCTTCATTGTGTATACACACTTGCATAATTAATCATTAAAATTAATCATTAGATGGATATTATATACATATGCATAAGGATAAATGTTATTAAACTTAAAATAAGAATATACATATATATTATTTTATAATGATAATTATATTATTATATCCAACATGCGGTTTTTCTCAGTCATGTATATTTGTATCTAAATTTTTTTTATAAATTATCTTTTATAGTTTATCTTCTTCAAATTATTTTTTCAATCAAATTCCTGATCCAACCAAATTTCCTGATCTATTGGTAGTAAAATATCAAACTTCACTTATCACAATCACCTCGGAAATATATTAATCAAAATATTCTTGTCAATTATTATTATTATAAATTGTATAATCAATATTGCATTACATACGCAAATGCGTACGCGCGTAATATTTTCCTGAAAAGTATACGGTTTCTTAGGGAATGCGCTTAAAAATTTAAAGAGTATTTAATCGCTTTGATTGAAAGATAAGATTGAATAAAATAAAACAATTTACACTATTTTAAGATTTTTATCACGAATTTTTTCTCTATTATTTTCTTTATTATTTTCTATTATATTTTTATTCTTTTATGTACTATATTTATATTTATTTTATTTACTTCTTATGAAAAAGACATCAATTTCAACATAAAATAATGAGCAAAGTAGTAAAAGTATAAAATAAATTAATAATATAATTTTCGTAAATATTTTTTAATTTATAGCTGTAACAATTAAATAATAATATCAATAGATTTTTAGGCATGATAAAGAATCTCAAAATAAGAATTTTGAGAAACTATATTTAATTAAACTAATATTCTAGTCAAATTAATATATGTATATAACGTTTCTAACTACCTTTGGTATCCACGGACTGAATATACACCGAATAAATCATTAATTTTTATGTATATGTATGTATAACACAAATATCACGCACACATTTATTTAAAAAACACTCTATTTTTTATAACATATTTCACAATATATTAATTTTATTTTATAAAATTTTAATTTATTGTATTATTTTGTGTACTTTTAAATAAAAAATACTAATATCTACATTTTAGATTCTACCGCATGCTATAATTAAATATATAAATAATGTTCTTAATCAATTTTCATTTGAAAAAAATAAGATTTAAACTTATCTTTCTAATAAACTTCAAGACATTTTCTAAGACATTTTTAAGTATTATTGTGATTATTCTTATGATTACTTAAACATATTTTTATTTCCTCTACAGTAGTTTCTGTTTCATTATTTGGAGCACCCGCGGACATTACATTAACGTATCACAAACAACGCTTTTATATTAAAAGAAAAGTAAATAAAAATTAAACATTATTTGATTTATTTTATTAATCACTGGCGGAAAAGAGGATTTGCTGCTTATTATTATTAATTGTTTATTTATTTAATGAGATATGGACGGTACAAAATTTCCACATTTGGGGAAATCTTTCGGAATAGGTGGAAGATCTGGTCCGTCGACGTGAAATATATTAGCCATACCTAGAGTTAGATGATAAACAAAATGACAATGGAGAAGCCAATAGCCTGTAAATAAAATATTTGATTAAAATTTAACGGGCTATTTTAAATAGTAGTTTAAAAAGTTTTTTTATAAATTTTAAATTATATTATTTATTGTTTTTAATTACACAAATATTTATAACTTATAAACATATTTTTCTTCTTTATTCGCTACATAATTGCGCATACAGTGCATTGTATGCGCAATCATGTAATGTTTAAATAAATATTTATGCTTAAAGTAGAACATTGCTAAGAATGCCATAGATTAGCATAGTAAATCGAGTAATATAAGAATTTATGGAAATTATATATTATTTTAATTCTTTTAATTTATAATTATATAATTGTTGAATAGATTAATAAAAAGTATAATAAAAGTGTTTAAAGGTGAAATAAAAACTACTTACCAGGATTATTCGCGCGGAAACGTATAATTACGTAACCGTTATTTGGCACAGCTATAGTGTCTTTAAATGGTGGTAAAATTTTCCTTCTAGACAGAAGTCCTTTCTTGTCCAATATTTTTATTTCCTTTGCAGTAGTTCCTGTTCCATTATTTGGCGCACCCGCGGACATTATATTAAAAGCGTAGCCATGTAAATGGAACGGATGATGTAAATTAGGAATTTTAGCTAAAACAGAATAATAATATAACTACTTATGTGTCGAAAATAAGCAGTAATTATATCGAATAAAATGTGGCTTTGTTTTGTTGGGAATTCCGACAAAATATTAATTTATATTAAATTCATTTTTGTACATTTTCTTAACATGCAATGATTAAAAATTTAAAAGACCACACAAGCAATAAAACATTACGTTTTTAATATTAGTAAATTATTTACATTTTAAATTTTAGGCATAAAATTTATATAAAACAATACAAAGAAAATGAGAGAACCAGGAAAAGAACTATCGATCATTTATCTATTGTAAAATATAGTATGCAGACGAATATATGCATATAATTTATACCTACACATACATGCGATATCTCGTGTAATTATAAGTGAAATGTGTATGCGAAAATAATAAAAAATGCTTACTTTCATCAACTATGACAAGTTCGATAATACCATTGTACGGAAGTTTTATAATATGCGTGCAACTGCATATGTCATCCCCACAGCTATCCGGTTTGTGGGTTTCATTACAGATTCTATCAGGTGGAATATCTCTCAATTGCGAGAGTGGTGGTGATGACGGAAATTGAAACATAATATCGTTGATAACAGCAGCTGTATGTGTGAAACCAGGCCCAACTACAATGACAAATATGCAATGTTAAAATATAATTCCAGAATGCGTATTATTAGAATCATGTCACACATGTAATAATTTGTTATAATTATTTTAAAATCGAATTTTTCTTTAAAAAAGTTTGATTGATATATTGTCAGTTTTTGCTATAATTTTTTTTTTAAATCTTAATTTATTTGATCTAATACAATATTAAAAGTTTCATTGAGAAGGATTTGTCAAACAATTTCACCTATAAATTTATAAAAATGATTAGGCGCAAAGAGATCCTGCAGATCATATTGATGGAATTTGAACGATAAATAGAATTGGGCATCTGGTTTTTTTTTTAAAATGCCTTTGTCAACTGGAATTGCACTTTCCATATTACTCATGCAAATTGCATCAGTTCTTGAAGGATCACACTTATCATCAAGTGGATTTAGTACCTATAAAAAACAATACAGCCACATAAATTATCAAAGAGTTTTAATCAAAAACGGAAATTCTAAAAAGTAATTATAATTAGCGCTGAATTATTAATCTTTGGTACTCAGACTGAAAAATATACAGAGATACATCAATTATTTTTCTCTTTTTTCAAAAATATTTAATATTAAATGTAGAAAATTAAAAAAATATATAAATATATTTACAAAATAGTTAAATAAATAATATCAAATAATAATTTATGCATAGAATTTTTAATCTTTTTGACAAAAATTATATTATTTTATTTGATTCAGAAAAAGGAAATAAAAAAGGCACACTCTGTTAGGACACATGTAACTTTACTGTTAAAATAAAACGTATAATAAATGGTAGCATTGATTTTACATTTAAACAAAAATATGTTTATATTGTGAAAATATATGCGTAATAATAAATTTGTACGCTACTTACGATTCCTGCAGGAAGTGAAGCATTAAAAGTAGGGGGAGGTGTTGTCGGTACATCCGATGCACCGTCATATTGCAATATAGCTAATTGTTGAATAGATGTTCTTTCGCATGATCCGACTGCACGAAGTTGAATCCAATAGGAATCAACTCGATTGTTCGTATTTATAACAAAGTCATAACGTTCAGCTGTAAAATTATTCGAATATTTATAGTTATTTATATCTTTTAAGAGATATATACTTTTAAGAAACTGATGAGTTTATTTTTCATTATTTAAATTAATGAAATTTAACATTTTAGTAGAATATAAAATGCAATTATAAATCCAAATATATTTTAGAGGAACAATTAAAATGTTTACAACTTAAAATTATTAATAAATATATAATTAATAAATGTATACATATATAAATCGCAACATATGTGCACCAAAATCGATGATCATTTTTGAGATAACTATCGCAATAATATTTACATAATCCAGTAAATAAGATTTTTTAATTTTCAATCTAAAATATATTTTAATTTACTCATATTAAAATATCTGATATAAATATGCAAACAATTTTTTTCATTGAATACACATGTTTAATCGAAAATAGAAATAATATTTCTTTACACTTACACACACACACACACACACACACACACACACACACACACACACACACACACACACACACATATATAGTTATCAATAATTATCCCGGATATGATTTATCATTAAAGATTATTGATTTGTAAATTTAATCTATTATCAGAGATAATTAATCCATGCATATTAAGAAATTCAATGGAAAGAACAACGTTTATATTAAAAATAAAATCTTAGCTAAAAAAAAATTATATTGTAGAACTTATTATAGTTTTATTAATTTATTTTTATATATTTAATTATCTCGTATTGTTTTAATAATCAATTATCTCGTTAATTAATTTATTGCATAAACAAGTCTTGAATATAATATAATACCTGAAGCACTGATTATGGAATCCACTACGATGGGTTTAACCGGGACACCATCTGCAGCTATAATTGTAAGATTATGACCTTCGACGGTTAAAAGTGATGCACAGGTCGTACAAAATGCATTTACCATACGAAATCGATAACGATAATTGCGTTTCACTCGAAATATCTCCGTGTTAATTATACCACTTTCTGGATCCTGTAAATATATTAGGTTGATAATAAATCTGTAGCATTTTTATAGAATTAACGCTACTAATATAATACTGCTAAAAAAATTTGCGGTAAAATATAAAAATTTATTTATTATTTTTCCTTGATTTTTAAAATAATTAAAATTGCTTTGTGTGTGATACTTTTAATCAATTAAAATTAAATTATCTATTATATTCTTTATATTATTTTATCATGTTTTAACATCATAATTTGCATTTGTAAGTTATTATAAATTATTTGTTCTTATCGTCTCTTATTAAACAGTTTTATATGTAGTTTCACGTAAAAGAGGAAGATAATATTACCTCGTAGCGACCTTTGCCGTTAATTAAAAACGAATCCGGATTTTGAAATTTTGTATCATAAAGACTGCCAGGCAAACGCGATGAAGCCAGTTCGTGCATCCAATCACTGATTATAAAATTATGACGGGACAAATCAAAATCATATAAATAACTATTTACATCGCGTTTTGCTGATTGACGTACAGTTAAACTTCCGAAGATACCATCCATTTTTTGTAATCCGACATGAGAGTGCCAGAAGTGTGTGCCCACATTATTCGCATTAAATTGATATCTGGAGAAATATATTTTATATAAAAAATGGATATATATATATATATATATATATATATATCCATTTTATATCTTGCATATATATATATATATATATATATATATGTATGCAAGATATAAAATATTTTTTTATATATTTTTACATGTTGTTTCTTTATAGTTAACATCTACATGATGTTTGTCAAATCTTCCTATGTTTCGTGCAGTATATTTTGTATAAAGCAAAAAAGGTAGCAAAAAATATAACAAAATCAATTGGGTTACATATTCAGAAATATGTAACCCAAAGCAGAATATGTTAAAATAATTCAGTATTTAAATATTATGCTTACAAAGAAATAAAATCTTTGATATCGTAATTTGGCATAGCGTTAAATAAAATATTACTTATATTTCACTAACTCAACTACACATCGATTATAGAATACGTAATTAATGATAAGAAATACTACTAACAAGTTGTACGTTTCTAATCACGAACTGTTCATTCTTTTTCAAAGAAATCTATAGATACTGTTTCAGAGAGCATTTGTATTATTACAATATTACAATCATTCATATTTATTTTAAATATAATATTAAAAAATCAATTCGATATTTTATTTATTAAATAATCACCTGAATGTACTGTGTGCAGGAATAGGGCATTGAGTTACAAGTGGACCGTCATAATATTGAGAGCCTTTTTGAAATAATCCATGCCAATGGATTGTAAGTCCCTCACCTTCCATATTATTAACGACGTCAACCACTATTTTGTCGCCTTCGCAAACATCAATAGAAGGTCCGGGTATCATACGATTTATCGTCAAAATGGTTCGTCCTATTCCATCAACAGGTACGCATTGGCAATTGTTGCAAAAAACGTTTGTTGTATTTGGTTTGCAGTAATCGCAAGCCCTGAAATATAAAATTTGAAATATATGTGGTAGACTTTACTTTAATACGCTGAAATATACATGTTCATATTTCAACATATTAAATTTTGTACATGTTATAAGATATAAGCTATATATTATAAGCTATACTCTATCAATATATACATATATATATATATCGGACGTTTTGCGTCAAAAGGCACACCAGGCTGCTCATTTTTTATTTAAGAATAGAGGGTTGTATTAGGGCTTAAATTTTAGCTTTTTACACGTAGAATCGAATGCCATTTGATGAATTTTGATAAATTTAAAATGGCGACCATAGTGACGCTATCCGTCTTTTTCTGTTTAATTTTGGCGATTTTTGCGAAAATAGCGTCACCATAGTCGCCATTTTGAATTTATCCAAATTCACCAGACGGCATTCAATTCTATGTGAAAAAAGCTAAAATTTAAGGTCTAATACGACCCTCTACTCTTAAGTGAAAAATGAGCAGCCCGGTGTGTCTTTTGACGCGAAACGTTCGATATATATATATATATATATATATATATATTTACTTACATAAATTATTTATCATGTAAACATGTTTATGCATAATAACACAAATATATAAATTAATATACATATATAAAATTATTAATGTCAAAGAATTGAGTAATTTGAGACAACAAAAATATTTATTACAAGTTAGTTTTCTTTTCCTATGCTATTTAAATACTCTCACTTTAAGAAAAAATGGTACATTTATTTGGAAAAAATAATCAAATTTTAAATGGCAATAACTTCGCAAATAATAAAGGTAATACTATTAATTTATTGTCTTATTAAGATATAATTATTAAATACTATATATTCACCTGGAAAGTGAAGAATATACCTCTGCTTCAAAACGATAATAACATGTCTTAGGTTTTTCTTTATTGTTGCATGTACGTGCACATTCAAGAGGACTTGATAAATTATTAGGAAGACTAGATGTCGAATTCACTTCAACCCAACAAGTTGTTTTTATGTTTTCTCTATCATCATCAACTCCTCCGATTACACGTTTCGATAAAGTATCAGTCAATATTCTGGTTGCAGAATTTTTTATCGGTATTGTATCTTTAACCGAAATTGCATTATCTTTGATCTGCGATTGTATCCCTACAACTAATCGATTTCACTTTTTTATTTATGTATATTAACTAGCTTTTCAGCCCGCGCAAAGCACGGGCTTCAAAACCTCTATCTCTTTCAAGCATTTTTATATAAATATATACGCACATTTTTTCGGAAATGGTTACAATAGTGATTTTTTTTATAGTAATTTCGAAAAAAATCAGTTAATAAATATATGAATGCATGGGTGGGTGGGTATATGATTGGCTACTATATGATTTTAAAAAATTTGTAAAACGCTGCTCACTTATCCACGCATCCACTCACGTATTTACAAATTTATTGATTAATTTTTTTCGCGAAATTTGTATAAAAATTTTGAAAATTTTTCGGGAATGACGACAATGGTGAATTTTTTGTTTTACATCTCCACTTAGTTCCCGACAAATTTCGAAAATTTTGGTATCGATTTTGAGAAAATCGGTCAATAAATTTGTGAGTGCGTGGGTGGGGTAAAACTTGAAAAAATCACCATCATTGTCATCCCCGAAAAATTTGCAAATTTTTGGTACCAATTTCGAGGGAATTGGTCCATTAATGAGGATATATACATAATAAATATAAGCAATACACTTGCAATCTTGTTAATGGAATTTATGTTATATATGATTTTGTCGTATAAGTAAATAATTGACATATTACGTAAATCTATATATAACATTGAATAAAATATTGAATTTTTTTACAGATGTTTATTTAATTTTTATATTTTTTTTACACACACACTTAAACAGATAAGCAAAGAAATATAATAAAAATGTACTACACGTAACGCATTATAAGAGAATTCGTTATTGGACATTTTGAAAGAATACATTGTTGAACAGTTTTTTACCTTTAACTGAAAAGTAGATGAACAAAAGAAAAATAAAATAAATCCAAATATGATTTTGAATAAATCATTTCAAAGTTCAATTAAAATTTAATGTTCTAGAATTAAAAAGCAATAATAAATAAGAAGCGAGAGAGTCGTGTGTATATGATTTTGCACGAACAATATTAACATGAACAATCAGTAAATTTCTTACCACAATAGATTAATATTACACAGAAAAAAATTGACCGATGGAGGAAACACATCGTTACAGAGTATATGCGACATTTGACGAAACCAAATATATATTTCGCTTTTATATACTTTTAAACATCTGTATATGTATATGTACAATTGCTTATATAGATAGGGATTTCTGAAGTTCATTAGATTTCGGAATTCGATAATACGTATTTTCTTGTGAAGATATATTTCGCAATAAAATTATATACAGTACCGGTCAAAATTATATTATCTTTTGATTTTTTGAGCATAACTTTTGTTTTAGAGTGCACAGATCTCTATTGAATTGGAATTCATTATGTTATACCTTCCTTCAAAAAACATGTCATGATTTGATAAAGATCTGTGCCCTTTAAAACAAGTTATGCTCAAAAAATCAAAAGATAAAATAATTTTGGCCGGTACTGTATATATATAGATATTGTTTGTATCTCTCTGTATAGATATTGTTTGTTCTCATGCAACAACTGGCTGTTGCAATATATCATAACAATAAATTTTAAAATTTTCTACCGCTCTCTTAGTCTCATCATACATTTATTATCATCTCTATCACAGCTATATAAAACGAAAAACTATCTATCCGAATATGAATTAATATTAATTACAGCTAATATATAATTATATCGATTTTCTGGGTATTATATCCCGGAAGAGACAAGAGAGATAGCTGACATCAAAAGAATTAATTGATAAGAATTGATTGATAATTGCTACATTGATACATGCGCATACATCAACTACATATATAATATCGAAATATAAAAATCAGAAATAAATATAATTGTAAATAATATAATATAAAATAATAAAAAATAATAATAAGATAATATAAAAATCAGAAATAAATATAATTGTGAAACTCGAAACTAGAATAGTGAATTTTCTTTAATATATTAATAGAAGACACATAAATAATGTCTTTAATTTTTTTTTACATTTATATACATATTATATATTTAGTATATATGCATATCTGGCATATCACTTCAAGAAATTTAATTAATTACATAAGAAAAAGAATTAGTCAAATTATCAGAAAACTTTTTAATAATTTAATAATTTTATTTAAAAAGAGATAAAGAAGAGAGAAATATTTATATAAAAATATTTTCTAAGATATATACTCGTATATATATGTATATCTTAGAATATATATATATTAAATATAACATGTACCTAACTGTAAAAAAAATTAGAGACATTATGTATTTGCGTCTACTTCTTTTAATATATTTAAGCCAAATTCATTATTCTAGTTTTGAGAGATCTATATTTTGATAGTATATGTATAGTTTATGTATGCGCATGTATCATAATGTATATTAATTCTTATCAATTAATTCTTTTTTTTAAGTCAGTTATCTCTCTTATCGGGATAAAATCTGGAAAATTAATATAATTATAAAATTAGTAGTGATTGATATTGATTCATATTAAGACAGATTAAAATTTTCGTACTAAACATTCAAAAATTTTATATATTAGTGTTTTTAGTAGAGGATTGTTTAATTAATTTGATGCTATATATTACTTCGAAAAAAATTCACAAAAAATCATTATTATTAAAAATCTATTCTTTTACTGAAATATTGATATACTATTAATATTTTAATATTTTATTTAATAAAAAAGCAATTTTTTTAATTGCTTGATAAGAAATATACATATATATATATATATATATAAAGTTGAAAATTATTCTGAAGTAATCAATTAATAATTGGAGTATAGGTTTTTACTACATAAAACACATTTTAATTCAGTATATTGTCTTATAAAAAATAAAACTAATATTTATAATAAAATATAATTTAGAATATTAGTGTCAAATGACAAATAAGCTTTAATTAAGTAATCTTTTCATAAGTCTCATAATCAAAAAATTAAAATTTTTCAGCTTTTTAACTTCCTTTATTTCGATAAAAAGTCATACAAGTCAGTTGTCGGCTGTGTAGTACTGTATGTTGTACGTAATAATATTGATTAATGTAAAATCTTATTTAATTTAATCTTAGATAATAAATATAAAATGAATTGTTCATGAAAAATAGCCACAGATTTTGCATACGCGAGTAAATGTGTATTCTTACACACTTTCAATTTTCGCATGTAAGATGTAGAATTGTATTTAATTAATAGAATTAGACATCAAATAATAATATTCTGTATATTAAAAATATATACAATAGTTTTATACATAATTTTTAATTAAATATTTTATTTAATTAAAATTAAACCTTATAAAAATTTATTTTTTCGGAAGAAATCTATTTAATACACCATAATCCTTGTTTTGATTCTCAGTCTTTTTGGGCGCCGCTTCCTTATGAGTTTCGCGAAATGATTCAGTCATTTCCTAAAAACAATAATAATTTATATTTCTGATGATAGATTAATATTAAATAGAAAATAATTCAAAAATAGATGAAAATCTCTTACCCGACGACTTAAATCTTTCAGTATCTTTTTAGTTTTTATTATTTTCGCGGTGCCACCCTTCCCTTTAGCTTTCGTTCGTCGGGGATCAAAGTTTATTGGTTTTGGTTTAACATACTGAAAAGAAAATTAATTGTTAAATTGGGATATTCAATGACATAATTGTAAGATTATAAAATAATTTATAATGTAAAATATTTTTGCCTCTTACTTACCAAAAGTTTTTTTTTTGAATCCATTTTTTCTTTATAAGAAGGTACATCAACTTCAAGTATCTCAGTTGAATCAAGAGTAATTAGTTCTGGTTGTATCTTTTCCAGAAGTGCTTTTACTTCTGCCTCTCGTCTTTGAGATTTAGTTTGGAATGGATTAATCTCGTGTGCATCATAGTTTGCTTCCGCACTTCCGGGCACCAGGAGCGACGAAAATTCATTTGCCGTAGAAATTCCTAACACATCTTCATATGGACAAAATCTCACACAGCTTACATTGCGAGCCGTCTTATGTCGCAAATATGGCTTAAAATTACCGGATGTTTCTCTAAAAATAAATTTGAATAACATAGATATAAATTCTTAATATTAAACAGCTATTTCTCATTAGCAAATTACCTAAAAACTTCTACCACATTGCCCATACTAAGTGCGAGCAAGCCACGTTGGCTGTAAGACATACGATGAGCTGGAGAACAAACATGTATGTCACTGACTGGTCCTGTCAACTGCCTAATATCCCATATCTTCACAGATTTATCTATACAACTGGTTGCCATGTACGTCCCATATGGATGAATGGCACATGTCATGATTGGTTGATGGTGGCAAAGCATTTTTGCCAATGGTTTATTAGAGTTTGGAGACCACATAGATACTATTCCTTTCGAATTGCCGACACATAACACTGCATTACTTGGATTTTGTGTCATAACCTGCAATAAATTAATAATCATACGAATAAATATCTACAATACAATCACAAATAGCATAACAAAATTAATGTAATTTTTCATGAAATTTACAGATATTCTGCCCAAATGTGAATTATAACGAGAGACAAGTTTGCCTATGGATATATCCAACCAAGCCATATGACCATCTTTCGATCCACTGGCGAGCAAAAAGTGATATGGTAAAAATTCCAATCTTGTCACACCATTCATTCTTTTCAAACAATGCAACTCTATTCCTTGATTGTCATATACATAAACCCAATCTTTCTGTGCTACAGCAAACATAGTTTCTAGATGCAGCCATGTAACATCATGTACAGACTCCATCACGTTTATCTCACAAGCCAGCTTCTTTGTTACCCAGTCAAAAGCTGCCACATGACCTTGTTTTCCACCCAAAAGTAAGTGTCTGCCATTTCTAGTATATCTAAAGCAATATGGCCCAAATTGCAAGTCTAATTTGAATCGTTTAGCTGCACTTGTTATGTCCACATTGTCTACAATTTGTTTCTGCCGATATTCTGTAGTGGTTTCTCCATCATCAGCTTCCAAATAGCCACACTCTTCTGTCAATAATAATTCAGCCCGAGCAGAAGCTTCTATCTGTTCCTCTATAATTTGCTCCTTCCGCTGTAGTTTCTTTCTAACAACTTTATTCTTAATTGCATTTGTTTTTCTTTTTAAATCAAGCCCAGGACCTTTAGAGTATTTGGCTAATATTTGTTTATCAATGGGTGCCTTTCCAGAAAATTTTTTATTAATGCCACGCTTCCTTCCACGATTATTTCTATCCGCTAGAAATAGAATATTAATATTAATATTTATGTATATATTTTAATATTCTAAATTATATTATCTAAATTTTTGAAATTATTTATAAACAAATTATTCTCTTTTCTGTTCCAATATTAAATATTTCGAACAATATATTAAAAAATTAGCATTTTATAAATTTATTATATATTTTTATTATAACATACATGTGACTTAACCTAACTTAATCCACAAATTTTATATAAGTATCATTTATAGCATCGAAAAATAAGGAAAAAATACGAAACCGAAAGATAATTTCAATGTTCATACCTGATTTCTTTTTTATTTTCATGATTTTTATTATTTATTAGAGTATTATGTTTATAACCTCCTCACGTTTTTGCATTCAGTAGATAAACGTAAAATGTTCACCAATGCTCACAAACTAGAATTCCTAAAAATAACTAGGGACTTCACAGTGCATCCGATTGTATCCATGAGTTGGATTTTTTGATCGCGTTTCTGATTGGTCAGAAAATTTGTTCAGGACTAGATATCTGTGTAGCATATCATCGATACGTCTAGGGGTGCGTTCCGTTATGCACTGCAAGTACTGGCACTATGACGTCATGCAAGTGTACTGTTGACAGCGTTCCTTTTTAATTTTGTGCACTTTGAAGCTACTGCAAAATAGTAAAACGGAACGCACTACAGTACGCTTTCAGCAGACTTTTAACTAACCTTTTTCGCTAATAATCATCGAGTGAAAAATTGGTGAAATGGATAATACCATTATTGCATTAATTACATATAATTTAATCGAGAATATATATGATTCGAGTGAGTCATCAAGTGAAAGCGATTTGGAAATGGAATTAATAAATGAAATGAGACGAAAAATTAAAATACCTAGAATAAAATGTAAAAATTACGTTAAAAATATTGTATCATTATATTCAGATATGGAATTTAAAAGTTAGTTCCATCGTACACATGGAGGTAGCCATCTTGATTACTGCGAGTGCTTTACCTCGCCGGTTGCAGTAATCGCAACAGGAAATAACGTCAAAATTAATGACGTCATATACTCATGATAGTACTTTCGCAGTGCACTGCTATCTATATCGGAACGCTATTGGTAGTACTGTCAGTACTTGCAGTGCATAACGGAACGCACCCTAGATATTAATGACTCTTTGGTTGTGAGAAAAATAAATATGTGCAGCCGCTAACAAGTCTAAATAAAGAAAGGAAGAGAAATAAATTAGAATTAATTAAAATAATGGAAAAGCAAGCAATTGTTCGATTAAAATGTATTTGATGTGTATTTGTGAATTTGCTCATAAATTACATACGTGCTTCATTCAGCCTCACTGATGATAATTGTGTTTCACTGAATACACTTTATGGAAAGTTACACAGTGGAAAACATCAATAATGATTTCCTTTCGCAATCTTATTCACAAAGCATCGAAAGGTTAGTTAACATTTTGCATGTATAGTTATAATTATTTTTTTTTTTCATGAACATTACTGATTCATGTGTAGGATTGCAGGAATCAAAGATCACATTTTTAGTTTTGAAATACCAAAAAAACTTCTGGAAGTCAGAAAAAAGGCTTGGATTAATTTGTTTGACAAGTATTCTGATGTATGTATCTCTATTTGTATGTCTTTATTAAAGTATATCTGACAACAGTAATAATTGATACAAAATACATGTTTTGTTTTCAGATGACTGATGATATAGAAATAAATGTTGATACTTTGGAACCTGATGAAGAGGAAGAAGAAGTTAGCGAGGAAGAAAGTAATGAACAGCGAATACCTATGCGCAAACCATCCAACTTGATACAATATTGGATAAATACTGGTAATTCACCCTTTACAGTGCTTGAAGAGGAGAATGAATTGTCTGAAACTGGAACATCTTTGAGCGAAAAAGAAATCACAATCTCATCGTCTTTGTCAGTTTCAAAACGAGTAAACAGCGAAGGCAGTAAACAAGAATACAAGAGTGAGTCATCCTGTAGTTCTGTAAATACTGCGGTTTATATTTTATCAAATGCAAATATTACAAATAGAGCAGATACTATAGCTATAATAGAGAGTGCAAAATGTGGTAAAAATATTAATTCTATAAAAAATATTTGTAGTAGTAATGTAAAAGTTGCATTCGATAATAAGATTCAGTGTGTAGAAAATACAAGTGTGACACAGTGACAATAGCAATGTTAATACTAATGTTCCAGATAATGAATTGTGTTCGATGTCAAAAGAGCATGTAGCATCAAAAACAAGTGGTCAATCAACTACTAATATAGTACCATCTGGTAACACAATACAACCTAACATATATTCACAGAGTTATGAAAAAATTGATAAGATAAATGTGTTAAATACCAGCAAAAGCAGTTCATACAACCAAAATAGAGACGACATTGCTCAACAGTTTAACCAACCATTGAAACAATTAACTGGAGAAAACAAGGACTCTTCAAATCAAGATGAAATGTTCGACAAAGATACTTTTTATGAAAAGGGAATGTCAGAAAATAGTGTTTCACAAGAAATTACTACAAAAGGTACAAGTCTAACAGCTTTATATCGTAAAAAATTGTATACAGGTAGGAATTCCCCTGTAGATTTAATATTAACTGAAAAACGCAGTTCTCCTGTAAATTTAATATTAAATGAAAAACACAGTATAAATAGACTATCAGAAGCAAAGAAAAGTTTACACCCAGCGTTAGATTCTGACTCTACGACTAGGAAAGAAGCATTATTAGTTCGCAAAAACAAAAAATTGTCTCTTTATGACAAAAAAAATGTTGGTTCTGGAAAAACAAAAAGGAAAAAAACAAAACGTTCTTTTATTTTTGACAAAAATATTACAGATACTAAAAATGGATTATCAAATAATGTCACTAAAAATTGTATTATCAACAGTTCTTTCAATATTTTATCAGACTGCAACAATTCAGATAAACGAAACAATATTTTGTTTTTGAGGTCCAATAATGCAAATATTTTTGTAAATAATGATACACACAAACTAAATTTAGCTTCTCATAATATAAATCCAGTAGTTCTTTTGGAGCGGATCACACCTTTTAAACGACATGAATCTAAATCTGCTGAGAATACACAGGATCACATTATACAAGAAAATAGTGTACATAATTGCAGATATTTAAACAAATCTAATGAGTTATATACTTCTGAAATCGAAAATGTAGAATTAGAAACGATAGATAGTGACACAAGTGCCATTTTTATTTACCAATGTAAAACAAATTCACAATGCTCTGCTTCAAAAGAGAGTGACTGCTCTATTAATTTAAGACTGAGTATTGAAGATGACTTTCCTATTTCAAGTACAGACGAGAAAAATAGTGAGCTATCAAGTTCGATGAGTACCGATATTAGTCAAAACAAAAAATCACATACTACTATATTAGAAGAATTACCACAATTGTTAGAAAACGAGGATTGTACAAATGTGAGATTTTTAAAAGAAGTTAAAGTTATATTGCAACGATTACCATCAGCAGCAATGGAATCACAGATCTTGAAAAAAGATGACACTGTTAGCCAAAATAATGTATTAAATAAATCTAAAGCACTCTATTCTAATTCATATGGAGCAAATATGATAGATAACGTGAAATTCCGAGAAATTAAAGTTTCATTGGAACGATTACCAGCATTGATAGACAAGAATTGTATAAATACAACTATGAAATCAGAAATCTTGAATAACAATGATGCACAACAAACAGAAATATTGAACAAATTTAAAACACATTCTTCTAATCTATATGGAAAAAATCGGACGGATAATGCAAAACTTGAGCAAACAAAAGAAATTAAAATTGCACTTGAACGATTATCTCCAAATGTATCTTTTAATAACAAAAACATAATTTCAGAAAATATAGATCTGTGTAATAATAAACGAAAACGTCGAATTAAACAAATATGTGAAATTCCGATGTGTGAAAATATAGAAGCATCTGTTCAAACAGTTAATAAAGTTAATACCAGATCTAAGAAATATAATAATTCAAGAATAAATGATACATCAGATAATGTTGCAGAAGATCAAATTTTTGATAAGACAGAATCCGATTCTCTATTTCAATATAAAAATGACAGTAAAGTAAATCAATGTAATGATAATAAGTATTCAGTTTTAAATTTAACGTCATCAGATGAAGATGATTTTGTTCGATTGATACAACGTCCTAAAAAAAGATTAAAATTATCAAAAATGACAAACTATTAAACGAAACAAATATTGAAAAGAATTTGTGTAATGAGACTAATCTTGCTACTAATAAAGATAAATGTTATAGCAGAAAAAGCACAGTAACATTTTCTGCAAAAGAAGCTAAAACAAAAGAAATTGTTGAATTAAACAAAGAAAGAAAACGATTAAATGGAATTGAGAAATCTTTCGATAATACAACTGCCTCCTTACAGATGTATAAAACTAGAAAATTTTTGCTCTCCTCAAATGATAGTGACAATGAGAGTGACAATCATAGTGTCATTAAGAATTTAAATAAACGAAAGAAAAAAGCTTCTGTTCTTAATTATAACAAGAGCGTAAATAATAATAATAACCAAAGACGTTCAAATGTAATAATGAAGACGAATGGAATGAATTATAAGAATGACACCGGTATCGTTTTCTTCCAAACAAAAATGCTTAATACAGATTCTTCAGATTCTGAAGAAAGTAATAGTTATACTACACCTATTTGTAAGACGACCAAAAGTTGTGAAGAATTCGTTAATGAATCTATTCCGAAGAGACACAGTAGAAGACATTCAAGCTCATTAAATTCTTCATTTGAGAATCATAACGTCGTTAATCGAATACATAATATAAAAAATGGATTGAGATCAAGCAGCAAAAAAACTAAAATAAATAAACAATTGGCCAATGAAGAATTGATTGACAATATTAATTCGAGAATTAATAATAAAAGGAAAAACATGTCTTCTTTCTTAAATGGTACATTGATACGAGATACAACTACGCAGAAAAAAATGTTTTCAAATATTTCCCTTGAAAAGAATAACTTTAGTAATTTATCAAAAAATAAACACATCTCTGACAAATTTAAGAATTCGGTAGCTAGGCAACATAATAATGATAAATCAACGAAATTAATGTTTCAAACTAAAAGTTATTACGACTCTGATTCGAATGAATCTTTATAATATTTTTCAGAAAATATGTAGTATATGATATTCATGATTTTATATTTGTATAAACTATATCTGGTATAGGGAATATTAATGTATAGATGTGTAGATGTGTAGACAAAGTATGTAATTGAAATGATTAATTCAAGCGTATATCAAAAAATAGTAAGCATATATTGACAGAGAGATTGTAAGAATCTTAATACATAAATAAATAAATATATATATCGATCTAGCTAGGGAATATTAATAGATAATAGTAGTCCACAACTGCATTAACAATTAGAATCACATTTAAAAAAAATTAAGTTTAATTAGTAAAATAAAACAAAAGTATTTTTCTTGTCTACAAAATCAGTTTAATTTTTTGAAAAATTATAATTATATATATTAGCCATATATAGACTAGATACGTTATTTTTTTTTAAGAAAAGTATGTTAGAAAATTTTGTACAAACATTTTTTATTGTATATATATATAAGTATGATATATGGAAATATATATATATATATATTCAAACGTATGTAACTAGAAACTATGCATTATATATAAATATATTATTTATTTTATATAAATATATATACTTTAAGTTGAATATAATAATAACAGACTGCATAAATTATTTGTATTTTATTGCGTTAATATTACATAAAAATAACTTATTGTGTTATTGAAGTTTTAATAAGTTTCCAAACTGTTTATCGCGTTAATATTACGCTATTATAATTAGAATTTTTTATATAATTTTTATATAAAAAAAACTGTTTTGTGGTGACATTTACGGTACGGTCCACACTATCTGTGAGATGGTTCCTTCTGGGCACGATAAAATAAGGGAAAATAAGTAATTAATTCAAGCCGGAGGAACACCAACGGAACAATGCTTTCGCAGTTTTTAGAACGCGAAAAAATACGGCTGTCTAAAAAGAGGTATTACAAGAGAGAGAGAGAAAGAGATGAATCAAAAAAATGCTCGATGAAAGCAAAAATATCGGGGATTGAAGGGCACCCTTTTGTCCTAGCCAGCCTCAAGAGTGACCACAAACAAAAAACGCGATCGCGCGCAAACAATTTCGGGTTGTTCGGTCGAGTGCATGCACTTTTTACTCGACATGCGCTTTTGCGCTATGCGTATGTGCGCATAGATTCCATTGAAGGGCATTTCGCGAATCTGTGGAGAGGCGTTTTGTTTGCGCCATCAGGGCGGAGAGAAGGCTGGTCTTTTTCACGATGGTTGATATCGAGAGAATTGCTGCAGAACAAAACGCATCTTGCCTGATGGTTGTTTCCACTTTGTGAATGCATGGTGGTCGCATGCTTGATATACATATATGCCACAATCGTTTTCCTTTTTATATTTGTATTTGATTTTAAGTGACCGTTATTTTATACTCAATGTCGATTAAGTAGTTATCAAACACTATACGTAAGCCTATATCATTACATATAAAATCAGCTGATTTCATAATTTTCAGTATAATAAAATTAATGATTTAATTAGCTAATTTCTATGAAAAATATTAGTAAAGTGTTAATTTACTAATTAATTTCTAAAATAATATATTTAAAAAAATGGTAATATGTTGTAAATAATATATTATGTTTCAATTTTAGACAATTTTTGTTTAAATGCCTATTAATTTAATACAACGTCATATATCAAATATTTAGAAATGATTATCAACTATTAAAAGTACATTTTAATAATTTTCCACTGTATAAGTACGACATTTTTGTGATTTATGATTTGTTAAAATCTTTACTGTTTGCGCTCATATGAAATTAGTCTCCAAATTGCGACTGACTGCAATTAAATTTCGCGCGCTTTTTAGTCATAATCAACGGTGACGCTGATGACGTCGTTCCGCCTTCCGGAGTCTGTAGCGAAGTGTCGCAAACACGGGACAGATGGATTCTCTGCATCACGACGCATTTAATTGGTGAATAAGTCATAATTGGAATCGTGTTTTAATAATTTTATATTGTTCCTTATGTAAATTCGGCATTCGTCGACAAGCGACATATAATTGTTTACGCATACGCTTACATATTATTGTCATTCACGCGGCGACTCTCGAACAGGTATAGGCAGCGACATACCCGTATGTATACTTATTAGTTTTCGAGCCGCGATTGCAAGAAGTATCTACGGGATTATTCTCTGATTGTGAGTGAATATTATTTTCCACAATTATTTAACTTTTATGATTAAATAATTCATAAGTGTATCGATTCGACAATTTTTGTTTCAAAGCAAATATTTCGCTCGTTTTATTCGCGTAATCAATGTAAAGCTACTAACATCGTTCTTAATTAAACCTCAAAACATCGTGAACTCGGGATGGGGATCAGTTCTAATTCGCAATGCATTTAATTTGCAAGTAAATTATATTAAAATATATTTAATCATTTTCGACTGTTCATAATGTAATCTATGCTGTTTGTACGCATGCGAGGTTAGTCTGTTGAGACATCGATATATTGAAATATCGAGATATCGAGATATCGAGATGTCGAGATGTCGCGGTCGTCGAGCCTCGCGCGGCGCGGTTCTTCCTTCTCCCGCGTTATTTTCCCGCCATAATCGAGTGCGCGTCGTCCGCCATTAAAGTATTAAAGTTGCGCTTATTAATTGTTAATTGTATTCGAGTAATAAGTTGTGCGCGTACACAATTGTCTCTTTTTACCAGTGTGTGCTTGTTATATAATTATTTTCTGTAGTGAGTGCCACGAAGAAGTGATTCGACAATGATGAAATAAAAAAGAAGGAGGCCCGGGGTGGCATTAGGCGTCAATGAAACAATTCTAAGGTTAGTATTTTATTATTTATTTATTAATTATAATAAATTTAAATTTATTATATAATTATTAAAATAAATTAATAACTATAAATAAAATAATAAAAATGAATAAAATTAATAAAAAATAGATTTAAAAAATATATTTATTATGTTATTATTAAAATTTTTATTAATTGTATTAAATAAAGATTTATAAAATTATTTAACTATATTTCTGTTTGATACTGTACGGAAAATAAAATCCAATGTGTACAGTAATAATTTTCTAAAATATTAATTATTTTAAACGCTACTATTTGAATTATATTTGTATGTTACAGATCAACATAATTGACGATTTGTGAGGACATTTGAAACATTGGGCACCGAAGGAATAACCATAAGGTGAGAGTTTATTTAGTGGCTTACTAGTTTAATCATTATTAAATAAAAATTTATAGAATTATTTAATAATTGTTCTGTTTATTATTGTACGCACGGAAAATAAAATCCAATGCGTACAGTAATAATTTTTAAAAATATTAATTATTTTATGCGCTGTTATAATTTGAATTTTATTTATGTTACAGATCAACGTAGCTGCAGATCAACACAGTTACCTTCGCTGTTTGTGCATCGACTGATGAGTGAAAATTTATTTTATTAAGGTAGCGGTTTTGTAGATATTAGATTGTGTAGATCTAGATAGTAGATTTTGTGTAGAATGTAGATAGTTCCGCTACCTTAAAATGAATGGATTACAAAAATTAAGATTATGATAAAGATTATCAATATTACAGTTTAAGAAAAAAAGAGAATTATTTTTTTATAGTATATAATATTTAATCTAATTCATTTTAAAACTCTAACAATTATATTATTAATTATATATGTATGATAAATTGTTGTAAATTGATTAAATAATTATAATTATTATTATAATTACTTATTATTATAATGTATAGATTTTATGTTATATAATATTTTGTAATCCATTCATTTATATTGATTGAATTTGAGTTTACGTAGTTAAAACAAAGTTATATTAAAATAGACTGAGCTCTATTTCAAATCCGAATATATTTTATCTCAAAATTAAACGAAAAAATAATATAATGATAAAATTTGCAGAAAAATTTATGCGATAATATTTTGGAATTTTTAATATGAATTATACATATATGTTACTTTATTTTATTTTTAATTTTTGTGGTTTATTATTTGCACTGTCGCGTAATTAAAAAATAAACACAAGTTGTATTAATTGTAAACCGCGAACAGACTAAAACTGATTATTAAATTTTTGCCGATCTATAGCAAAAAACAAAAAATTGCTTTCATATAATATTATAATTAACATTAACATTAATATTAATAATTATCATTAAAAGCGGGATATATATTTTCGATATTATATAAAATACTATTATTTAGAATATTAATTAGCAAATGGCGGTAATTGTTAATGAAGTACACATGGTGTGCTTGATATCGCCATAAAATTGTGCGAATTAATCGAGAACGCACAAGGAGACACAATCGAATGGCGCATTTAAGTTTGGAAGTAACGTGCAAAGTGTCGCACGTTCAAGTTCGGGAGTTTCGTAAAAGTTCGCGCGTTCAAGTGCGGGAGTGTCGTATAAAGTATCGCGCGTTCAAATGCGGGAGTGTCGTCCAAAGTATCGCGCGTTTAAATCAACAGACTGACAATTATTGAACAATCCTAATCAACTTGACCTGAGAGGAGGAGCAGGCCTGGGAGGCATCAGGCGCCGGTGGAGCAACTCTGCTGTGAGTATTTGTTATTTATATATAATATATTATATATATGTATTTGACTTGTTATAAATCACTTTTTTTACACATATATATTAATTTTATTTATATATTTGAATAATTTAAATTTTTAAAAATTAGAAAGAAATACTTTGTATAAATATTATAAAAGTTTATATATTAAAAACATATTTTTTACAAAATTTGTAAAATTATTCAATTATCTTTACTGATTATTGTATGCGTCAAATATAAAATTTAATGTGTAAAATACTAATTTTTAGAAATATTAATTATTTAAAGCACTGCTATAATTTCTATTCTATTTGTATGTTACAGATCAACGTAGCAGTCAACTTCTGTTTGCGCATCGATTGGCAAGTCAAAAACTATTATTTTATTACGAGGTAGCGGTTTTATAAATATTTTATTGTAGAGATCTAGATTTAGAATGTAGATTGTAGACTGTAGATTGTAGACTGTAGATTGTCCGTTACCTCAAAATGAATGAATAACATTATTAGAATGAATATTTTAATTTAAAAAAAGATAATTTATAATATAATGTATAGAAGAAATTAAATTTTATCTTATTCTCAATTTACTTCATTTTTACGAAGAACACATTAACGATTAATTGTAAGTGTGTTGTAATTATAAATTAATTGTATAATTATAATAATTAATTCTTTTAATATCAATTTTATTCTAATTTTTGTATAAATAGTTTATTCATTCATATTGATTATTTGGTATTGTATTAATAATGGTTTTTTATTGTTTGTCTATATATAATTTTTATATATTTATATATAAAATACTTATATATATTCTTTATGTTATTATATATTTATATTGTTCAATATATCGTTAAACAATTGAACTTTTATTAAGGATTATTACGATAATATCATATTCTTTTTCTTTATCTTTTGTTCTCTTATTTCATATATAAACGTGTTATACCTACAATACGCGAAACGCAATTTATTCATAAATTAAATTAGTGTAAATTACATACATATATATATCAATATTTTTTATGACAAAAAATTTAATTTCTAGCCTACATAATTTATTCGTTGATATTTTAAACATATACGTTAAAAGTTTATATGTATAATAAACAAATTTTTGCCGACTAATTTATTATTGACTTTGCATATATATTTTGATTAAAATTAATTAATTGAACCTCGAAATATTATAGCGTCGCGTAATTCATTGCGTTTATTTCACTTTTCCAATATTTTTGTTTATTCAAAAATAATATTTTAGCATTATAAACATTGAGAGTTTAGTTTGATATTAGGAGCAATTATGATACTATTTGCTGCACATGCAGTTTAGCGCAAAATACGACTACCTATGTCGTTTAATCTATAGTATGCGCATTATTATTTTTGTAATTATTCTTATCAGTATTTGATATTATTACATTATGGTATTTCGCGCTTCAGACGCGAATTCATTAGAGATCAAGAAGATAGGTATTGTATTTCTTATGTATGATATTTCTTTTTCGTTGCATTATCATGGTTGAGATAATGCCATTGAAATGCGCACAATAATGTCGTATATCTAACACAAATTTATAGAAATTATTTCGTGCTTACACACAAGTATTGAAATAAATCGAGAGAGTTGATGTCATCCAAGAGAGGCGACATATGCTGGTCGTGTGCGTTACTAATAGGTTGGCGTCGCGTGTCAAAGGGACGTCACATGCGATGCGCGTTGCCTTCCCTTTCGCCGTAGTTCTCGCGCAATTAGCTGGGCTAAATGCCGCCACACTTTACGTAATCGCTCGCCTCCTGTTCGTCCCGCTTATCCTTTCTGCCACAAAACTAAGTGGAGACACGAAAAGGAGAATGGAGCCGCGACTACGATTAAATGCATCTGTTGCATATATGTGTAACTCTCGATTACGAAATATGATAAATGTATCTCTCTCTATTTATATATATACATATATATCTATTAATTTTTTTTTCTCTTTATCTAGATTTTTCGATTATGATCGAAAATTTTGAATATTTTGTCACCCCAGCATTTTTATGCGGGTGCAAGTTGCAGGTATTTTAATTGAAAAACGCGTAATTTGTAATTTTGCTTTACAAATTTATTGGATAATTACGAAAAGTGGTTTTTAATTTCTCTTTTTCTCTTGATTAGAGAATAAAATGAGAATAATAACGACATATTAGCAAATGCAGCAATCTGGATGTTACAACATACTTTGAATATCTAATAAATTTTGAGAATATTTACTTATATTGCATAAAGCGAGGGAAAATTTTTTTCCCTCGGCTTTTTCTCGTCACTTTTCATTCTGTTTAGTTCGGAGAATGCTTAGAAACTCGTCAGCAGATTTTCGTTACACACGTATACTCGGACCTTTCAAGTGCTGCCGTGGCTTATTGCCGAGCACGAAGTCGACTGCCTACCTATCTTCTTGATCTCTCTCGAGAGAAAAATATTTAAATGTTGCAGTCGCGACACGTCGTGGTTCGAATTCAATACCGCGAGAAAAACGTTACTTGAATCAAGAATCGAAAACGTGTGTCAAATTTGCATAATAGATAACACATATTAAGAGTATTAAAATACATATACAATATTATTAAGCACATATAAATGTGTTGAATTAACGATTGTACTAATTAATTAAATGCGCCATAAGGACATTCGGAATTTAATTTATCTTCTTGTATTTCATGAGATACTGCGTACTAAGTAATTAATGATTCGTAAAGATGCAATAATTGTATAAATCAATAAATACATAATGGTTGCCCAATCATTACTAATATATAATAATTCTAATAATTGTACAAAATTGCGATAATTAACTTTTCCAAACTTTAGGACCTAATGTATAAAAAAAAATTAAAGTAAAAAAATGTGTGCACAAGAAATTTGATTTATATATCATGTAACTAGTGTAGGTATATTTTATATATTGTACATTAATCATTAATAATTGATTTTAATTATTAATATTAATATGAATATTAATTATTAATTATTAAACACGCAAATTAATAATATATCTAATTATTTTTTATGTAGATTTTTTGCGAGAAATTCTTGATGATAAGCAATAAATCAAAGTTATTATTTCGGATACTTTTGCTTGCTAAATGTACGATATTATGCATATTTGACATGCAACCCTTGCATCATGGCGGAGAAGATGACACTTATTTTTTTTCTTTAGAATATTCCCACAAGATCAATGGCATCAATGGTCTTCAATGTACGTCGGTGAATTGTAATCAATATTTTCACAATATAGCGACATTGTCCGCTCGACACGGTCGAGTTGCAAGTATACTTTGTGAATCAAGGGACACTTTTTCTTTGGAGCGTCTACATTATTCAACAGAAAAAAATGTTTTAAATTTATTTAGCCGAAAAAATTCTCGAAAGATAATTATCGTAGATTTTGCAAAGAAATTATAATAAAACAAAATTTAATAGCTATCAGTAAAATTATAATATCAATTAAAATAACAAGATGACAAAATGAGAGACAAATGTCAAACCGCAATATTATATATATTATATAAATATATCATTGATTTTTAGTTTTTTTGATGACATAACCGTTTCATTTATTGTATATAATAATTTGAAATTTAGGAAAATATATATATGATTGGCTTTTTATACAAATATCTTTATATTCAAGTATCAATATAGATTCAAGTATAACTACAGCTATCAAATATATCTACATATGTGTGCAGGATTTTCAAAGAACAAAAATATTTTTTCAATAATGCTGTATTATATTTTGTAAGAACAGATTTGGTTTCACGTATCAATTCTTTCTTCGCGAAAAGGTAATTACTTCTTATAATAATAGTAAACAAAAGTGTAACTAAAT